AGTCAGATGATGATACAAGGAAGGTGTGTTAATGATGATAACACGCTGTACATGGTCGTGATCGTAGCAGTGGTGCGGCGGCATGAGCAATCCCATCATGATGTCATCGCGCCTCACCAACAAGAACTCGCCGTCACTGTCCTCGCTTGCACCCGTCTTTTCACCATCATCTGTATATCAACATCTCTCCTCCTCCTCCTCACCCAACGCTGTCTCACCACCAGTTTCACCGGCCAAGGATCAACAACCAGGCAACAACAACATCAACCATCATCACTCCACCAACCTCCACCTCCACTCCAATGTATATTCTTACACCAAATAAACAAAAAAAGTAGTTAAAAAGTCCTTTGTAGTCTTTCATTCACCAACTTCCAACACCGCGATGATGGGATAGGATGCGATGCGATGCTTCTCGGCAATCGATTGGAGCACGATATGGAACTCCAAATTTCCTCGCCTTTAGTATCTGACAATCTACGTTCCCATCAATCATCAGTGGGAAACACGAGTGACGATCAAAGCCCCAAACACACCAAAACGCCCCAACAACAACTATTTTTATTAAATTATTTGTTTGTTTTTGCAAACAAATCATCCACTTCATCATCATCATTATGATACCTATTGGACTACTCCTTCACTTCTAACAATACAATCATATATACACATACAATCAATTATATAAAGTTATATAGAATGTTCAAGTCAGTGTTCAGATCAACAAACAGCCTGTCAACCATTGCCAGACAGCAATTCCAACTCAATGGATACTGCACAAGTATGGACTCACTCCATCCATCCAAACTCATTCATTCGATCATCATGATGGACGATCATTATACATGGGAGTGATCCATCATGTCACGTGATTGATTGATTGATCAATCACACACACTCACTCACACACAATTACACAATCAATCATCTTTAGGCACAGGTGGATTCCAATACATCTTGTCAGAGAAGAAGGGAAAGGTTGGCATTGTTACACTCAACCGCCCAAAGGCATTGAACGCTCTCTCTGATGGATTGATTGGCGAGATTAACACAGCCGTCAGACAGTTCCAAGATGATAAGGACGTCGGCTCGATCGTCATCACTGGCAGCGAGAAGGCTTTCGCCGCCGGTGCCGACATCAAGGAGATGGCACCAAAGACTCTCTCAGAGGCCTACAACACAAACATGTTGGCTCAGTGGCACGACCTCACCAAGATGTCCAAGCCCATCATCGCCGCTGTTAACGGCTACGCCCTGGGCGGTGGCTGTGAGTTGGCCATGATGTGTGACATCATCATTGCAGGTGAGAAGGCCGTCTTTGGCCAGCCAGAGATCAAGCTGGGCACCATCCCAGGCTGTGGTGGTACGCAGCGTCTCATCAGAGCCATTGGCAAGTCTAAGGCAATGGAGTTGGTCCTTACCGGAAACAACCTGACTGCCGTCGAGGCCGAGAAGGCTGGTCTTGTCAGCAGAGTGGTGCCAGTCGAGGAGCTGTTGCCAGAGGCCATCAAGACTGCCGAAAAGATTGCTTCATACTCTCAACTCACAGGTAGGATGGAATCTCGAATCGAATACTAAATTGGAGAATGACGTATCACTAACACCCATCATCACTGGAACCATTCCAATCAATCAATCATAGTTGCCATGGCAAAGGAGGCCGTCAACGCCTCTTACGAGCTGACCCTTGCAGAGGGAATTAGATTCGAGCGTAGACTTTTCCACGCCACCTTTGGAACTGTAAGTATCGTAGAATTGATTGGATAGCGCCGGCGTCCACCGGTGGACGACCCGCTGAAGCTTGCCAACAACTTGACAGAGAGAGTACTTACATCTCCACTCCATGCCACCATTCCAATCAATCAACCATCCAACAGCATGATCAGAAGGAGGGTATGAGCGCATTTGTAGAGAAGAGAAACCCAACATGGCACAACCAATAAGGTTCATGATGCTATCACACAACCAAGTTGGATGAATAACACACAACTGGTTGCTTGCTTGCGCCTTAACCTTTGGAAATAAACATGGAAGAATAGTAAATCATCATTTGTAATGGAAGCCAACCTCATCCAGTGATTGATTGATTGGTCGATCGATCTTGCATGAATGAATGAGCGAGAGGAGAGAGGAGAGAATATGCCTGATTCTTTGAGGCTATTTACTCTTGATTCAAAGTGTTATCGTGTCGAGTCGATGTCATTGTCGAGCCTAGATCAGAGATCAAAGTCGCGATCGAGTGTCGAGAGGAGCGTCTAGATGAGACAAATCTTCTTCCTCTTGCCACCAGACTTTACTGATGGATTGATTGCTATGCCACCTTCGCTCTTGCCGCCATCCTGATTGATGTCAGCCAGTCTGTTCTTGATGTCTCTGGCCATGGAGATGAAACACTCCTCGACATTGGTGGCGTTCTTGGCACTGGTCTCGATGAAGGGGATGCCCATGCTCTCGGCAAAGCCCTTGGCCTGGTTGGTGTCCACAACCTTCTCACTGGCCAGATCGGTCTTGTTGCCGACCAACAGCTTGTTGACGTTCTCGCAGGCGTATCTATCGATCTCGCCCATCCACTGCTTTACGTTGTTGAATGAGTCCTGGTCGGTGCAGTCGTACACCAATATGATACCTTGAGCGCCACGATAGTAACTCGATGTGATTGTTCTGAATCTCTCTTGTCCTGCAGTGTCCCACTGTATAATCATAATGATCAATGTTAGTCGTGTCCAATCAAGTGTCTCATTCGCGAATGGTGATTGTCAATCATACGATTTGAAGCTTGATAGTCTTGCCATCAAGGGTCAGAGTCTTGATTTTCTGTTGGTTTGATAGAGTCAAGGTTAGTGGACCATTGGACTTGCGAATATCGTCTGAGTGAATGAATGATGGGTACTTACAAAGTCAACACCAATGGTACTGATATGAGTGTCGGTCCATGAATCATCCTATGTCAGAGGTGCAAGGTGTAAGTACGATTATAAGTGCAAGGATTTGTACAACAAATGATAATTAACATACAGCAAATCTAAGCAATAGACAACTCTTGCCTACTCCACTGTCTCCAATGAGTAGAATCTTGAAGAAGAAATCGCTACAATGGTTGAATGAACGAATGAAGATCAGTATAATATTCCACCAATTCTGTCAAACGTATTATTATTATCCTTACTGTTCAGGAGCCATTGTTATATTATGTATATATGTTTGATCTTGTCAAAGAGAATTGTGGACGTTGTTTGTTTGTTTGTTTGTTTGTTATATATGGATCAGTCTATTCGAGTCTTGTCCTTTTGGTGAACATGTTAGTTAGTGGACATTCGACGACGACGCGATGTGGTTGCTTGCTTGCTTTCTTCAACAACTTACTTCTTGTTTTTTGTTGTTAGTGGCAGGTGTCGCGAGAGTGAATGCTTAGTTGGGTGTGAGTGAATGAATGAATGAGTGTGCTTGGGTTGAATGAATGAATGAATGAATGATGTTGTGTTTGATGTTAGGTTAGCGGCAGGCCTTTGAATGAGTGATGGCAATAACTAGTTATTGATTGATTGATAATGACAATCAGCTGATTGAGTGATACTATTTAGTTAGAAATAAATGAACAACGTGATGATATATTTATATACTTCTGTAACTTTAATGATTGATTGATTGATTGATTAATTGATTATTTTAGACGTCGTGTGACAATCGTGTTTTAGTTGGCTGATTGATGCTACTGCTGTTGTTTTGTTTCCTCTGTTGCTTGTTGCTGATGATGTTTGTTGAGTATTGATAGGACATTGATTATCATAAGATTTGTACGTTTTTTGTGGATGGATCTTTGAAAAAAACACATATCTGATTTTGATTGTAACAAAAAAAAAAACATTGTTTTGATAGCATCATAGGTCCACAAAGCACTTGATTGATTTTAGGTCATTTTGGATACCATTCATACAAACATTTAAATTATGAAGTAGATGAGTAGACTGATTGTTGGAGAAAGGAATAAATAGCTTTGTTTCACCCTTGTTGAAGTTCTAATGAACTCGTTTGAGTAACTGTAGATACCCTCAGTATCAATTTGAAAACTTAGTATTAATCAACCAAAGTATACTTAGATACTGTGACTGATATTTGACATTTTAGAATCTATTTGAATTGTCTTTTTCCTTCTCCGACTCTGTTGTATTATTATCTCGGTTGCAGTTGTGAACATTCACCCACCCGAATTCACCAATCAAATCAGAGTGTGGGCCAATCAAATAAATACACCACTCACTTGTCCATTTCATTCATTATTCAATCATTGTGTACATTATAAAGAAAAGAAAAGAACAGATATATCTCGTATACAACAAAGCATAATAACATGTGGTTCCCTTCAATCAATACTACAACTGCTACACCAATACCTCAACAAAAGATTCAACAACATCAGCAACAACAACATCAACAACAACAACATAATGATTTAAGTCTTTCAAATAATAACAATAACAATAACAACGCATCATCATCAACACCATCAATACCTAGATCAAGCAGTATATCATCGAATCTTGTTAATTCATCTTCATTTGATTCATTGTCATCACTCGATACTCCACCATCATCAAACTCAAGGTCATCATCATCCAGTCAACAACAACATCAACAACAACAGCAGAATAATAACAACAACATCAGTATGAGTGATGGTGTAAAGATAGGTGGAGGTGGTGGCATTGTGACTGTGGAGGACAGTGCAAGAGAGAAGGCTAGCTTCTACGCCAAGCTCAAGAGTCCCAAAGCCAATGACATTAGAAAGAGTCTTTTAAAGTATGTTTGATTGACATCGACTCATTCAATCAATCACTAACTCAATCAATCAATCAATCGATCAATCGATAACTACATAGCTTTGCACATCAGTTCGCGACTAATGGACCAGGTAAACTTGAAGAGCAGGGACACACTATTGTCAACTACTCAAGAGAGTTGGAGAACTGGGTCATGTCTAATTCATTATGGGAGAATGCCAATGAGGCAGAGGTCGAGGGAATCAGAGATGGTATCGAGAAGTACATCATGATGAAAGTGTTTCATTGGTAAACTATCGACTGATTGATTGATTGATTGAACGAGCGATAGTTCATGCTAACATAATCAACAACAAACAGTACATTCATGCCAGCTCGTCTTGGTGGATTGGAACCAAGTGATGGAAACATTGTACCAGAGCAAGGATTGGTGGCGACAGAGGAGGATCTTAAGTTGTTCAAGTTGATAATGACATTGGCTTTCATCACGCCTGCTCATTTGGACATACAGAAATTTGTACAGAACAATGGTCAGCTGGTGGAGAAGTCTATGATTGAACTCAGGAAGCTCAACATCTACAAGACACCCCGTGACAAGATGATCTGTATCTACAACAGTTGCAAAGTGATATTCAAACTCCTGTCCAACCTAAACAACAACACACCCTCTGGCGCCGACGACTTCCTCCCCATCCTCATCTACGTAGTCCTCAAGTCCAACCCTCCAATGCTTCAATCAAACATCCAGTAAGTGTCAGTCTGTCTGTCACATGTGTCACGTGATCACACTCAACTGACTCTCACTCAATCACTCTTGTTGGGACACAATAGATATATATCAACATTCAGGAATCCAGCGAGGATGTCGACAGAGACTGGCTGCTACTTTACTCATTTGGTGTCAGCGTTGACATTTATCGAGAACCTTGATCCAGCGCAGTTGACAATCGATCCAGAGGAGTTCCATCGACTAAAGGACAAGTGCGAAGCTGAGCTTCCTCTTAAACTTCATCCTGATATACTAAAGAGATTGAATGCACTAAAGACTCCACATGGTCATGGTCATGGACAGAAGAATCAACAGCCACAGCAACAACAACATCAACAACATCAACAACAACCACAGCAACATCATTCATTACAGCCACAGTCACAGCCACAGATACAACCACAATCAAACATAATGTTACAGCATCCAAAGAGTGCGCCACGACCAACAAAGCACACAAGGCATCTGTCCATCAGCAACACCCCAGTCAGCCAGTCACCATTCCTCGAAGAGGACTTTGACCTACAGAGCGATGATCATATCGATGAGAGGGTAAGTGCCATACTCGCACATGCTTCACCCCGACCATAGTCCTAACAAACCAACGTGTAGAAGTACGAGTTCTTGCAATGCCAAGCAGATGATTTGAAGATTGGACAGGTATCCAAGTTGTTGGAGGACTATAAGCGATTGGTGATTGAGAACAATCTGTTGCGATCAAAGATGTCTGGCTTCTCATCAGAGGCGTCTTCATTGTCGTCCTCGCCAGCGTTGAGCCGGATGCCCTCATGGACGTCATCTTCACCTAGCGTATCATTTATCAATGCCAATTCACAACTAATCGATCGTACCTTGTCAACATCCAATCAAAACAACAACAGCAGCAACAACAACAGCAACAGCAGTAACAATATCAACACAAGCAACACAACAGATAGCACTGGCGATATCCATCATGGTATGAGTATGTCAATGTCGATGTCGGGATCTGGTAACAACATCCCCATCACATTGACACCACAACAGTCTCACAGCAATCCAAGGACGCCCATCATGGAATCCGTCAACAACAATAGCGACAGCATGACTATTCCCCTGACGCCACAGCAGTCCTCTCACAGCAACCCAAGGACGCCCATCATCGAGTCCATAAGTGGAAGCGAGTACTCTTCATCGCCAAAGGCATCTCAGTCATTGCTGGACTTGTAACATCCTCATCATCCATTCATTCAATCAATCAATACAGTGTCGACGCATTTGGTAGTTCACAAAAAGAAAGGTGTACATTCGATGCTGACCTTGAGTCGCATCGTCATTCATTCATTCAATCCATCATCATCGTCCATCCATATATCCATTCTAGAGAGCTTCAACACGCTTGAAGGCGATCACTTCTTCCCGCCTCTTGCTGCTGGCTTCTTTGTTGTGGCCCTGCCTGGCTTGGCCACGGTCTTTTGCTTCTTCTTGACATTCTTGTCCTCCTCCTCTCTAGGTCTCTTTGACACGGCAAAGAATGTGTCGATCCTTGTTTGCACTCCACTATCTCTATGCTTCTTCAACTTCTCGATACCTTGAGTCACTCTAATCTCTGCAAATCCCATCTCATCCACCAAGAACTTCTTCAGACCCTCTTCATCAGGTGCATTCCATTCGAACTAAGTGATTGATTGAGTGAGTAAGTGAGTGAATGGGCGGACATTGATCTTGTAATATACCTCTGGAATCTGGTCTGCTGGTGTGACCAATGGGTTCTTGAATAGCTCGCGAACCTCTTCGATTGGGAAGGACTCGGGTACAGGGTATTTGGTCTTGTCGAGATGTTTGATGATTTCCTCGATGCTGCCATGCTTCTGGATGAGGTCAAAGCCCTTCTTGGGTCCAATACCCTTGATGGTGTCGCAGTAGTCGCAGCCGAGCAGGATACAGAGGTCGATGAACTTGTCTCTGGTCATTCCCAGTGAGTCCAGTACACGCGACAACTCTATCTCCAAGATGGGCAGCTTCCTGCTCTCCGAGATACAGAGTCTACGCAGCAATACTGGTGTGCCCAGCGTGAGAGAATCCATATCCTCTGAACCAGTGGCCCATGCCTTGCCCGCCTTGCACAGCTCTGCACACTGTGCCTCAGCCTCGCAGGGCGCCTGAACAATGGGCACGCCCATCAACTTGAGCAGTCTCTGACACTCCTCATTCTGCTTCTTTGTCGCTGTGATTGTCCTCTTTTGAAACTTTTGTACCTCCTCCTTGGTTCCAGTCTCATTGGCCTCTTCCAAAGCCTCCTGTGCCTCTCTTCTCCTTGCATATCTTTTGGCCAACTCTCCACTCTTCAATACAGGTGCTTTACCATCAAATACATATATAGGCTTGATACCACGAGAGACTAGCTTGATAGTACGGTAGAACATACCTTGTAAATGACTGAGTTTGAGTTAGTTACGTATGAATGAATAGGTGAATATGATTGATGTTGATTGATAACATGACATACCTTGTAGTCTCACCATTGGCATTCATCAATGATGCACCCATCTCTGTATTGATGGCTATCAAGAATTGATACAAGCTTGTACTCGCATCAATGGCCACAATACGACCAGAGTAATTCTTTAGTTCATTTGTCTTTAAACATGTTGGAGCATTATCCTCAATCAACTCTGTTAACTTTTTTATTCCCATTGTTATTGGGTATATATAAGTCTATATTATGTCTATATGTGTTGTTGTAATTGTAGTTGTGGAAGTAGAATTAATGAATGAAGTTGAATGAAGACAACCAATGTTTTACTAGTTCGGAGAAAATTTGAATTTTGGCGGCATTGTGTTTTGTTTGAACTTTGCTCAAGCTTCATTCTTTCAACATCTTTGTCATCAAATGGATATTGGATCATGGATAAACTACCAACATTGATCATTCAGTCTATACTGAGTACACTGGATAGGAAAAAAGAAGATGGAATCATTGATATAGCATGCTTCGCACTCACTTGCAAGAGATATAATACAATTGTTTCAACAATAACAAAGTTTCAATCACGATTCAATCTGATTGATAGATCATCATCTATGAATATAACACTTCAATCATTAACATTAGATGATGATTATGTTACTATAATACCTGGTTCATTACCTGAAACTCTCACTAGATTGAACCTTGGTGAGAAGTACAACAGCAAGTTGGAGCATGGTACACTGCCATCATCAATCACCTCTTTGGATCTTGGCTATGATTTCAACCATGGCATCGAGCCTGGTACACTACCCGAGTCACTCACGGAATTGGTGTTTAGCCTCTCCTTTGATAAGATGCTGCCGATCGGATCACTCCCCAATCACCTCGTCATTCTTATGTTTCATACCCATTTCGACCAACCAATCGTGCCTGGCTCCCTACCCGACTCAATCGCTCACATTTCCTTTGGTAAATACTTCGACCAGCCTCTAGTCCCTGGGATGCTACCATCGTCGCTTACCGAACTGATCTTTGGGAAAAGGTTTGATCAGCCTCTGGTCCCTGGCTCTCTGCCCTTCTCACTCATTTATTTGGAGTTTGGCAAACAATTCAGTCAAGAGATTGTACATGGCGTGCTGGGTAACAAGCTCAAAGCGTTAATACTTGGCGATCACTTTGCGGATCTGATTACCCCGGGGTTACTGCCAAACTCACTCATTGAGCTCAATGCAGGCAACTCCCCTCTCACGGCAACGCCTGGAGTTCTTCCTCCTTCGATACTCTATTTGAAAATGGCTGGTGTAGATGAAGGATATAAACAAATAGCTCCACTCAGTCCACAAGCACTCCCGCCTACTCTAACCAGCCTGTGTTTGGGCGACGGACACACTGCCAAGTTGTTGCCTGGTGTCCTTCCACAGACTCTACGTTTGTTGGCGTTCCATTACTTTTCAAACTTCAATCAGGACATCGAACCAGGTGTACTTCCACCATCTTTAACCACTCTGGAATTCGGTCAATCATTCAACAAATGCATCAAACCTGGAGTGTTGCCTGCATCATTGTTGAATCTTACCTTTGGTTATAACTACCAAACAATGATACCTGTTGGCGTACTACCCAATGCCCTGACTGACCTGGACTTGGGACAAATGTTCGATCATCCGTTGCCTGCAGGCACATTGCCAGCTTCACTCAAGCATCTTGTTCTGGGCATAGAGTTCATGGTTGATGTTGGTAAAGTTGTGCTCCCTCCAAACCTCAACACGCTGTTCCTCTCCTCATTGGATCATCTTTACTATTGTGATGCCATAGTTGGTGAATCATTGAAGGAGGTCCACATCAATGTGTCCTGGGAGGATCTCATCGAATCATCAACTCCTTTCAAGCGCAGATTGGATCACTTGTACATTAGCGTCGATTTCTTTGTGAAACCAAAAAACATGGACAACAATACGATTTGTCTAAAGATTTTCTCCCTGGTCTCAAGATTGTTTCCAAATGTCAATACCTACCACTTGGACCTTTCCCGAAATGATCAACAACTCCATTGTAGCTTCAGACATATCAATCAATCCATGATCCTGTCTTTGTTGCCCAACAATAAAATGTACATTGTTAATGTCTAATCAAACAATTAATCATAACACAATATTTATATAGGATGTATAATTGCCACTTTATTTAAGTGTTGCGACCAATCAATCAATCAGTCGCGGATCAAACAAATTCCATCCATTAAACGTTTGACAACAGTATCATTATCATTGAGCAATGTCCATGTGTTATCTTGAAAGGAGTATCGGTGATTCTTGCCTGTGCCACCAATGATTAGAATGCCCCCGGTTCCATCATACACAAACATCAAATGTTCCAGATTAATTGGACTCCTACGAAGTTGAGATCTACGTTTGGTGGACAGAGTGTATCGTGTAAACTGCGATTTTGATAAGGTGTAGACATTGTCAATGCCATCGTAGCAACTGTGGGTATGATGTTTGACTTCATGGGTGGTAATCTTGGTGTGTACCCTAGTCTGGACATTGAATGATGAAATGTCATATCCATTCACAATATAGAGCAAGTTGTTGTGGAAGAACGTTGTGGAGTATGCCATAGGACCAAAGTTAAGATGTTGTTCGACATGTTGAAATTGCTCAGTCTCGATGTTAAAGCGATCCACGCGATCAAATGATAACACGATATTTTGCTCATTGTCCAAGTCGGCTCCACCAACGAGGTAGATGTACTTTTCGCCATCGAAGCAAACTGATATAAAGAATCCTCCATTTGCTCCGACAATGTATGATTGATATAACTTCTTCTCGGCCAATGAGTAGCGAGTGTATACGTTCGGGAGGAATAATCCTCCGAATGAATAGATGCTACCTCGAGCATAGACCGACGAGTGATAGGAATTCTCCGGTAGTTCCTCAAATTTGGTCTCGATCGGTGTCCATTTGAGTGTCTCCAGTGAGAATGATGAGATACCCCCTCCCTCTGAGTTAAATGCAATTATCTGGCCATCATACTCGTGTCGTTGGGCCTCTTCGTTGATGAGTACAAAGCTTGCCTCGATCTGCTTCTTGACGCGACTCAGCTGCTCGACATCAACGTTAATTTGACATGCTTGCGGTACCTTATCGTATGGTACAATCTTCATGTGTTTGGCATGACGACCGATCATTGACAATAATTCATGATCATTGATTTGTGTCTGATTGTCATTGTTGATAAGGTTGTCTTCAACGGCAACACTCTTGGCGAACTCATCGATCGATGTGCATGTTGTGATTGATTCAATCAATTGTGTGAATTCCTCTGTTGAGCAATCATCATTATCATTACTGTTGTTACTTGAACCATCATCAGTTGTCAACATCAAAGCGTTGTTGTTGTTGATATGATTGATCTGTTTGATCTCATTGATGATCTCATTGATTGTTGCTTGAATGTGTGCCATCTGTTGATTGATCGGTGTCTTTGCTCGATGTTCTTGAGCCATGATCACTTTGATCAACTGTTTAAAGTGTTCAGTCACCTCTGAATGTGTCTCTTGCAATGATTGATATGTTGTTGAATAACGTTGAAGTGTTGTCCAAAGATGATTCAATCTTGATGTGCACCATAATGACTCGGTATCCATCTCGTTGATACTCTGTTTGATGTTGACAACATGATCAATCTTGTGACCATTGTGTCCCTTCACCGAGCAAACAGAGCACAACAACAGATCACAATCGAAACAAATAATCTCTATCTTTAACTTGTGTTTCTCACAACCCCTTGTTGACTCCTCTTCATTATTGTCCATCTCCATCTACTTATCTCTCTATCTCTTTTGAAGTGTTTTAGTTGATTGATTAGATCGTGAGCGGATAAAATAATGAAGATCCAATCTTTGGATTCCTTGCAATGTATTTATTGAGTACATGGAATGAATAATACCATTTTGTGGACTACTACTACTCCTCTATTCGCCCAGCTCTGAAAGGGACACCTTCTCATCCTCCTCCTTGTCATTGTATATGTTCTCGGCCATCTGCCAAATCTGCAGAATGTTGTCCTCGGCCACAGACGCGATGGCCCATGGATCATGAGGATTCCACGAGAAGTCTGATATCTTGCTGGTGTGACCGCCGTGGATGAACAGCAGCTCGGGGGGACCGTCCGAAGAATCCTCGTTGTTCTGCTCCTCGCCGATGCGAGACAGATCCCACACGTTGACGCGGCGATCTGATCCGCATGACGCCAGCACCGTCTCGTTGTGCGGCGACCACTGCACCTGGAACACCTCGTCCGTGTGCGAGATGAGTGTGTGCAGACGGCTAGACAGGTTTCGCATGTCCCACAGTGCCACAGTCTTGTCGGTCGATCCAGTGGCCACCAAGAACTCACTGAATGGATTGAATGACAGACAGTTGACTTCAGAAGTATGTGCTTCAACAGTGTGCAATGGCTTGGTTCCTGTTCTTGTGTCCCATCTATGATTGTTTTGATTAGTGGATGGTTAGTCGTCATTGAATGTGAGGTGATGGAAACTACACATACAAGATGAGCTTGCGATCATCGCCAACTGAACCAAAGTATGAATCGTGGTGGTAGTGCCATCCGACATCTTCGACGATGGACTCGTGTCCGTGGAAGATGTTCTCGGCGTCCAGAGTGCTCGATGCTTTGGTGGCGCCATTGATGTTCCACATGCAGATGGTGTGATCGTCTGAACAGCTCAGCAGGTATCCCTCCTTGATGGGACACCAAGAGATGCCGTAGCCCTCCTTCTGGTGGCCCAGCAGCTTGAGGTTGGGTGTGCACTTTCCGTCGGGCGTTGGCTCGCTTGGATGCTTGCTCGTGTCAAACACGTAGACCTCTGACGACACGGTCTTGGTGGCGATGATTGTGTGGTTCTGGGGCATGACGCGCGCGCGGTTCACCTCTCCCTCATGGTTGATCTTCTGTACAATCTCAATCTTCTCGCTGACCGTTCCGATACCTCCAACCTCGCCCTTCTGATCATCATACTTTATAGCATCAATCGATGCGCCATCAATTGGCAAATGAACCTTTGCCACCATCAAATAATTCTGTTCAGCATCCGATGTATGTGTTCCCAACACAACCTTCTCAATAGAGTACTGCTTGTTGGCGGGACTATTTGAATGATTGTTATGTTAGTATTACTCAATCATTCATCAATCAATCAATCAAGACACATACGTTGTTTTAAAAGGCATCCAATTCACTGTTAAAGAAGGCCACTCCAATGCATGAGTGATGATCATATCATACAAATAAGGTGTATTCTTCTTCCATATCTTATACTCCTCATTGATCCTCTTTTCTTCAATCTCTTCTGATGACATATCTTATAAGTTTATTCTTCTAATGTATCTGTATCTATATCTATATCTCTATCTCTATCACTATCGAATGAAATACAAATATAATTCAAAAGTTTGAAGTGCTTCATTCATAAAAAAACTTGAAGATTGGCGCCAACACATTAATGATGAAATGGAGAGACGATGAGATGGTAGTTCATCAATAGATGGAATAACAATAACAATGTCGTGGTTGAAATTAACATTCCAAGTGTTCTAGACAATAGGGAAATATCTTAATTTTGTAACTTGTAAAACATTAATTAATTCAAACAAATGTAAGAAGTTCTCATCATAAAAAGAATGAACCTTAAATACCAACGTTACACAGTCTCTACTTTGATTTATCAATTATATGCCAAAGTGTCGACTATGACTATAAATATTTTATTATTTCCATTTATTAATATTTATTATCTCTTCTATTAATATTAGTTTTTTTTAAATATTAAAAGTTCATTTCTTTTAAAAAATAATTGTTTGAATTAATTAATGTTTTACAAGTTACAAAATTTAGCTGGTGTAAAAAGGCCAAGATCACTAGTAACGGTGATTCTGTTCATAGCCACTTGCCAAGATATATTATCTCTACACTACCTTTTATACACTCTGACCACTCCATTATATATATATAAATATTTATACTCTAAAAAGATGACCACTGTAAACAACAATGACCTCTCTGGAATGACCTCTAGCTCAGAGAACAACAACCAAGCTCAGACCACTACCACCAATGGCGTTTCCCGGTCATCCATAGTAGCACCACTCAATATCCTCACTTCCTCAAACCGTCCAGGTGGTATGGATGAACCATCTGAAGACACCTTAGACACTGATGAGACCCAACCATGATCACTTTACCCATCTCTTAAAAACTTCACAGCAATATATAAAGTCAATCAAAATACAAGCATAACAACCTAGATGAATAATATTAAACAACTAATACTATGAGATATATATAATTTAATGATGGCTGTCGATGAATCTATCTAATGAGCGAATGAATCAATAATAATAATTGAGCATCCATGATCAAATGATGACGATATATTATTGTTTTGTTTAAATTAAATTACTACAACAAACAAGCTACAAGCTTATAAGCATAAATGTATATGTACACCACTTGATTGATTGAATTGTGATTGGCAACTGGCCAAGTTGTGGAGGATGAGTAGATTATGATCCTTCTCCCATTGATTCGAGAAGTACTGACTTTGATGTGGTGGGAGAGGATGTAGTTGTGGTGGTGGAGGTGGTGGAGATGGAGGTGGTGGATGTTGTTGGAGGCAGTGTGACTTGACCCGTCGTTGATGGCGTCGTCGTGGCATTCTCCGTACAGTTGGCCGTGGCCATAGAGCCATCGCAAGAACCACTCGTGGCCAAATAGTCTGGCGACGAAGGGTCCGACAATGGATTACTAAACTTGGGCTTATAAATTCCAAAGAACAACGAGGTACCAATCAGCAACAGCACGATCACTACCACAACGATCGCTGCGATGATAAAGTATTTCTCTGTTTGGAGTTTGAAATTTGAGTTTGAGGGTTGAGTTTGAGTTTGTTAGTGTCTGGGATAGTGGGTGGGGCGCGGGGTGTGGTGGGGGCTGGACACTTACTTCTCCTCTTGTGCTTCTCAATCTCGCGCTCAAGCTCATCAACCTTGCTCATGACTTGCTCTTTGTTCTTGTCGAGGATGTCGAGCTCAATGACGACGTTGTCGACCTTCTTGGACAGCTCTTGAGTGGCGCCAATGTTCTCCATGAAGATGGCATCCTTGTTGACCATGAGGAAGTCCTTGATGACAGTGCCGTCGTTGAGCGAGCGATCGCCCGTCTGCTTGACGGCGGCCGGGATCACGGTCTGGAGTTCCTGGGCAATGACACCGCGGTCGTTCGGCTCGGTGACGCCGGTCGTGTCGGTCCACGGCTTGATCAGGCGGTAGTCGTACAGCTTCAAACGCTTGATGTTGTCCAGCTGCTCGGACGTGTCGACTGGGCGGATCTCGGTCTTGACACGCACGTCCGACGGCGTGAACATAATGCCCGTGATCGACACATTGCCGTTGACCGACAGCGACTCGGCTGGGTTCGGATTGTTGACGCCCACGTTGCCGTAATGGTACAGGCCGCCCATTTCGTTCTGGTTCCACAGACTCGCCGACTCGTCCATTCCCGACACGGACGATGGTGGCGGCGTCATGTCCTGGTACGTAGGTGTCGCGCCATTCGTAGACAAGGGTGATGGGTTGGGTGATTGTTGGAAGATGTGTTGTTGTTGAGGTAGATCTAAAGTTGAAGTCAAGCAATTGAGTGCTTGTTGTGGAATGTGTTGCATTTGTTGTTGTGGCGGGGCGGCAGTGACGACCATCTGAGGGTGCGAGGGGATGCCAAAGGGGGTGTTGCCGCCGTTGCTGCTGCTTTGTTGTTGGAGTGGGTGGGTGGGGAGTTTGAGAGGACGTGCGCCGGTGATGTCGTCCTGATGTATAGAGTAGAGTAAGGAAGGATGCTGCTGGTGCAGCTGGTTCAAAATTGATTGTTGCTGTTGTTGCAAGAAGTGTTGTTGCTGTTGTTGCTGCTGTTGCTGTTGCATTTGCTGTTGTTGCTGTTGCGCAACCACATGTTGTTGCATCTGCATCTGCTGTTGCAATGATTGTTTGTTTGGTCCAACAACAACAACTGACGAAGGAATGCCCAGTGGGTGCATGCCGTGCTGTTGTTGCTGCTGTTGCTGTTGTTGTTGAAGTTGTTGTTGATTGTTAATGAGCATATTGGATGATAAAGAGTCATTGCTGGCAGGTACGATGGGTTGTGCCGGTGATGAGGAAGAGGCCAGATCGATGGACATGTGGTGGTTGAGTGGCGATGCGCCACTGCTGTGGCGAAGAATGTGTTGCGTGCGCGGCGACGAAGCCAGTGCAGGCGTAGCGGAAAATGAAAACATGGGCGAGTCGGGCTCGTTGAAGGATGAGGGCGTGAGTGGCTCGGCGCTGGCGGACGCCTGTGAGTCACTTGGATGGCCGGTACGCACAATCAGCGGGTCCGAGATGTAGGAGCAGATGCAGTAGTCGCGGCCCTGGAAGCGGCCCGACACAGTCATCACCAGACGGAAGTACTCCTGCTGAGGGTTGGGCTGCTTGTGCTTGCGTGCGTTGTTGTTGGTGGCCTTGCGGAAGTGCAGACGTGTGAACGTCACGTGCTCGGTGGACGTCATGGCAATGACGGGCGGCGCCTTCTCCTCGGACTTCTCGCGCTTTGAGTTTGTCTGGTAGAGGCCGACCTCGACCTCGTCCGTCGGCGCCAGAGTGTTGTTGTGCTTGATGCCGCGAATGCTAATGTACAGGCCCTCGACCGGGCAGCTGCTGCCGCCAATCTCCAACGTCGGCTTGGCCTCTTCAAACTTGAACGAGTGCTGCACCGTCACGCTCAACTGGAAGTGATTCCTGCGATAGTACACCCAGGCATTGTCCACCGATGAGAACTGGAATCCCTTCTCTGCGTTGACTCGAAGTGATGGAGGGTCGCTAAATTGTGTGGGTGCGTGAGTGGGTGGGGGTTAGCCTCGCCTAGCCTAGCCTCATGTGGGTCCTTTTTGGACCTTTTGATCGATCAAACATTCCAAACTTACAGTAATTGTTGACTGTCTGTGTTGTTGATCTTGTGCCAGTAGCTGGAACAGTATGGTATCCAGTTGAAGCGATGGCTGCTCTCCAAGAGGTAGACGCGAGTCTTCTTGTGTGGGAAGGTCAGAGTATCTTCGCGTCCAGTCTTCTGACCCTGCTTGCTATTATTAAGTGTACCATTGTTATTGTTATTTGTTGATAACTTCAATGTCGAACTATTATTATTATTATTTGTTGTTGTTGTCGATGTTGATTGACTGTCAGCATTAAGTGCCGGCAGTGATGATGGCATTTGAGATGATGGTACGATATGTGGATGCAGAAAAGGCATTTGATGTGTGTTGATTGATGATGATGTTGATGCTGATGTATAAAGAATATCGCTAAAGAGCGGACCTCCTCGGGTCAGGGCTGAAGTGTCGAATGGACTTGGCACGAGATCGATCCCACTGCCATTATTACTATTACTATTATTAATGTTATTGTTATTATTATTATTACTGCTACCATTTCCATTTATATGGATATGACCATTTCCATTTGTATAACCATTGATCATATCATTCTTTTCCAGTTTGATCTCGGTCATCGATGACGTTGATTGATGTAATGTTGTTGACTCTGGATTCATCATTTTCGAATGACTTCAATGTGTCTGTTATGTGGCGTGTGTGTGTGTCCTTCCAAAGTGACTGTCTGTTTGATTGATTGTTGATTGATTGATTGAGTGTGTCTGTGTGATAGCTATACAAGGGTGTGTTGATGTGTGCGTATGATTGATTGTCCTGAGAGATAATAATATCTGGCCAACTAACTAACTGTATTGATTAAATAAATAATGTATATATTAATACAGTCGAATAAATTTATAAATGATTTTATATATTTATATATTTATATATAAATATTATGATGGTATGTATTATTATGTTTGTTTGATTGATTGTTGGTACAACGAGAGTGATAGAAAGTAAAGAAGAAGTGTGTGAGAGAGTGAGAGTGATTAAAACAATAGTTGTGTGAGGTAGATAGATAAAGAGAGAGTGAGAGTGAGAGAGAGAAGAAGGAGTTGGATGGGTGTGTCTTGCGTTGGGTCTGTCTGGCAAGCAGGCGGGCGGGCGCACTGTCGCTGAGCTTGTTTGTGTTGTGAGATAAAAAAAAAACAAAAACAAAACAAAAACACATCAAAGATCGTGCAAATAAATGACTACTTTGTCTCTGTGAGAGAGCGTTGCATACATTCATCTATCCATCCGTCCATCACTATCATTTATCACACACACTCATTCAAAACAAGCGTTGTCAACCATCCATCAACAACACACACTCATTTGAATAATAATAAAAAATCAAAATATTAAAAAAAATGGATGTGGTGAGCGACCTTTCGTTGTGAAGACACACTCAAGCATACTCTCTTGCAGCTCATCATACACACCGTGAGTGTGACGATGTTGTATACTTCGTTATGATTACCAGGTAGTTGTGTGATGATGCCATCGCTTTTGGGTCATATCTGTTGTGTTATTTTTATCCAAAAGGGATTCTGATTGGATGGAGTGGGGGTAGCTGAGTGAATGAAAGTGTGTGAGTGACTACATCAGATCGGAAGTGTATTAATACACACAACACTGAAGGAGGGGTATGTGATGATGAGTTGTCATTCAGCCCTTTGCAAAAGTGATTATCTATCTCCATAGAGGACAACACATCATCACATACACAGTATGTATGTATGAGTGTGTGCTAGAAGAAACCATCTGCTAAATCTAACACACGCTCTAGTAAACATCGTCTTTACATACACTCCTACTGAGTAATGATTGATCACTTGCCATACACACCAAAGGTGTGAATGTGTGGTCTTTATTGATGATACAATCGCCATTGTCTGTTGATGATGACGACTTACACCACGCTTCCATCTCCTGGTTCTGCTTCCTTCTCCGTAGTTTGTGAATCCCCTCACCTCCCCGATCGATCAAACCATTATTCCCCATCTTGTAATCAATCAATCAATCTATCACTCGATCAATCAGTCGCATCAAACCAATCAATGTCAATGTCAATGTCTAAAAAAAGCTTTGGTACTTTAGAGCTTGGACTTCATTTGTTGATGAGCATATCCTTCCTCCTCAAGGAAGAAGTCGAGCATGAGGGCGTGACCTGGGACGTAGGCGTAGATGTCTAGATCTTTGACACCGAGACGGTTGCTGACAATGTCCTCGTCGATGAAGAATTGGCCGGTGACGCTGGCCTGTGGCTGGGTCAGAATCCAGTGGGCAGAGTCCGACATGATTGCAGGCTTGCGGCACTCGCTCTTGATCTCCTGGCTGTGTCCGGCCAACATCTCCATGGCGGCGGTGAAGATGGCTGTTCTTGGCCAGAGGGCGTTGAATGCGATCTGGCCTCTGTACTCCTCGGCCATGCCCAGCACACACATGGACATTCCATACTTGGCCATCGTGTAGGCAGTGTGATTCTTGAACCAACGGCTGTTCATGTTAAGTGGTGGAGAGATGTTCAACACATGTGGATTCGACGACTTTAGCAAGTATGGCAGGCACTTCTGAGTTGTCAAGTATGTTCCTCTTGTGTTGATGCCCATCTACATTGATTGACATTGATTGATTGATTGATTGTGATTGGAATGAGTGAGTGATGCATTACACGACACAATCAATGGATCGAACATACCATGAGATCGAACTTCTTTGATGGAGTCTCGAGTGTACCGGTGAGAGAGATGGCACTGGCGTTGTTGATGAGGATATCGATACCACCGAATCTCTCAACACCCTTGCGAACAGCAGCTTCGATCTGCTCCTCACTTCTAATGTCACAGACACATGCAACACATTGACCACCAGCGGCTTCAATCTCCTTCTGTGCCGAGTAGATAGTACCTGGCAGCTTTGGGTTGGTATCAGCAGTCTTGGCGGCAATAATAATATTAGCACCATCCTTAGCAGCTCTGTACAATATGATATGATCATTGTGTTGTTGTTAGAGTTTGCGCTTCACTTCACTTTCTGTCATTGCGATGATCTGAGTATGATCATACCTTAAGGCAATCTCCTTTCCAATGCCTCTTGATGCACCTGTAATGAATATAGTCTTTCCCTTCAATGACATTGTTGTATATATTGTATGTATAGTAGTTATTAATTTATAATTATGATAAGAGTGAATGAAAGATTGATGTTTGGTTGATGGATGCTTGATTGATGGATGATGGGTTGAGTTTCATTAACTCACACACAACAATAACAACAAACACCATCCTGGTCCTTTGTAAACATGACCCACCCAACCACCTTCATTCATTCCTCCTTCATTCATTCATTCATTTCATTCATTCATCCTCCGATAATCGTTATTGAATTTGAAATTGAATCATGCGATTCCTTTTTTGGAAAGAGATAGATAAGATGAAAAAGTAGGTCAATCACATGCATAAGTTTAACTGAAGTTATTGTTGTCAATCATCAAGATTAATCTTTGACTGTCATCATCATAATGGTTATGAGAGAGAGAGAACCAACTACATACATTCACACACACAATTCCTCCTCAAGGACCATGGTGATGTCAGTCAAGGCACCTGTGTTTATCTTTGTTGAACATTAAAGGATAGTTTCCATTAATATCTTAGAATGGGGGTTAATTAATGAATGGGCATTGGGGAATGGTCTTGGGCTGAATCTATGTTCGAAAAGAATCGACCAACACTTCTTCGGGTCGTTCTCTGGCAATGACAACAACTACTATCGTCACATTGAGAGACTGTGTTCAAAAGTCTAACAAGTCAAGTCACAAGTATCTATCTTCATACATTCATTGATCAAATACAACTAAATATACATATTAACAACATAAATAATAATGGTAAAAGAAATAGTTATAACAGCCAATGGCTCATATGATGTGCTCAAGGTACGTGAGCGTCCAGACCCTGCTCTAGAGCCAAATACTGTCAAGATCGCTGTCAAGGCATGTGGTCTAAACTTCTCTGAATGTATGTAATGTTGTCATCTGGTGTCGAGACATCATTGATCCAATGAATGAATGAGTGACTGACGATTGGAATATAGTGATGGCAAGACAGGGACTATACCCAGGTGCACCTCCATTACCTTGTGTAGTGGGATATGAGGTGGCTGGTGTGGTCACAGAGGTGAATGCAGATGAGACTGAGTTCAAGGTTGGACAGCGTGTGGCCGCAATGACAAAGTTTGGCGGTCATGCTTCGGTTGTGGTGGCCAACAGAGAGATGGTGTTCCTCATCCCAGACTTTTTGTCATTTGCCGAGGCCGCCTCAATCCCTGTCAACTACCTCACTGCCTATCACATGCTGTTCCACGTGGCCCGCGTGCGTCCTGGTGATCAAGTGCTGGTGCACATGGCCGCCGGTGGAGTTGGTGTTGCCGCCATCCAGTTGCTCAAGACTGTCGAGAATGTCACAGTGTTTGGTACTGCATCAGCCAGCAAGCATGATTTTATTCGCAACCTTGGATGCACTCATCCCATCGACTACAACACCAAGGACTACAAGACAGAGATCACCGAAATACTCAAAGACAAGCCACAAGGAAAGCGTGGCCTTGACATCATCCTTGATCCACTTGGTGATTTCAAGTATGTTGTTGGTGTACTTGGCAATGTCCTGCCATGGCCCTGGACTAGACTAGACTAACACACACGCCTCCCTAATCAATCAATCAATCAATAGGACAAGCTATGACATGTTGAATCCATGTGGACATCTGGTTATCTTTGGCGCTGCCAACATGGTGAATGGATCAACAAGGAGCATATTCAATATACTCAAGCAATACTGGAAGATACCATCATTCAGCTCAATGTCATTGATGGATCAGAACAAGACTGTGTCTGGTGTGCACTTGGGTCATATGTTCATGCCAGTGCTCGTCCAGATGTTGCGACAGGAGATGTTGGACATCATCGAGCTGTACAATCAAGGCAAGCTCAAGTCGATCGTCAGCAAGGAGTTTACCTTTGAGCAGGCTGGCGAGGCTCACAAGTACATGGAGCAGCGCAAGAACATTGGCAAGGTGATCCTCGTGCCAACAGAGGAGGACCTTACAAAGGAAGCTCCAGCTCAATAGAGATATAATGAATGTATTGATGTTTGAATGGACATAAGTCTAAGTCTTTATGCGTATTATATATATATATCTAGATCGATCAGATGTGTGCACGTCACGTCACGCCACTCACTCCCTTTAGAAGATTGATAATCTCCTCTTGATCTCCTTCATGAGCAAGCCAGTCTCGATGGCGCTGTTGGAGCCAACGAATCCACGGTTCTCTTGCATGCGGCGCACGAGGTACGGCAGCGTCTCTTGCACTGGTCCAAAGGGCACGTACTTGAACACGCGCTGGTGCTGGCTGGCGAGGCCAAACGAGAGGAAGTCAGCCATGCCAAAGAGCTGGCCAAACTGCAGGTTGGGGTTGGCGGGATCCAGGTTGAGCTGCTTGATCCTGTCCACACCAAACTGGATCGACTGCTCGTTGTGTGTGGCAAACATCACGCCGACGTTGGGGCTCTCCTTGAGCAACAGCTCCATCGCTGTGAAGTAGTTGTGATGCGTCTCTTGGATGGTGGGCTGGATGGGGTCGGCGAGACCGAGTTCAAGTGCGCGCTTGCGCTCGCTGCTCATGTAGGCACCACGTACCAGCTTGGCACCCAGATGGAAGGACTGCTCCTTGGACAGGCCCATGTGATCCTTGAGCGTGTCCAGTCCCTGTACAAGGTACATCTGGTAGGTGTTGTAAATGAGTGGTCTGTTGGTGTTGTACTTGACTGAGAAGGCCATTGCCAGATGATGGATGGCCGCTTGGTAGTAGGTCTGCTCGGCGTCGACCAGCACCGGCACATTGGTGCGATAGCACTCAGAGAAGATGGAGTCGAGACGCGAGACCAGCTGCTGCAGCTCGACCAGCTCGGCCTGCGACAATGTGCCGGCCTGCGAGTACACTGCCATGGGGTCCCTGAGCAACTCGGCCGTGTACTTGGGATGTGCGGCAATGATTGTGTTGAGCTTCTCGAGCAGCTTGGGGTTGGTCAGGCCAGTGACCTTGACGCAGCTGAATGACTTCTCGGGGTGCTTGGCTGCCATGGCAATGGTGCGCTTGATCATCGTGGCCACATGATCAAACGACTCTGGCGAACCCTCACTATCCTCCACACTATAGTCCAATATCGTTCCAATACCCTGTAGATTCAATCTATTTGTGAACTCCTCTGTCTCCTCAATAGTCTCTCCAGCACAGAACTGTTTGAAGAACGTGTTCCTGACGACCCAGTACAATGGTCTGCTTAGTCCAAGTCTAAGATTGATTGAATGTTTGAGTTAGTATATATGATTGAATGAGTGATTGAGGGATAGACACATACTTCTGAGCAGTCTCAATGATGAATAGACCATTGTCAGAGAGTATCTTCATGCTGCATATCTTGAGGATGACATAGTTGAAGATTAACTCTGATGTAGACTTGTTGGCGTAGATCTTCTGGACATCGACATTGGGCGGTGTTGTTCCATTTCCATTAACAGCCAATATACAAAGTGGAATGGCAAAGCCTGCAGCCAACAATGGTACCATTACCTTGTATCCACCATTACCATTCTTTTTGTTGTTATTGTCCTTGTTGTCCTTGTTTGAGTTGTTGTTGTTGTTGTTTGAGTTGTTGTTGTTGTTATAGTTTGTTCGATCGTTCGAGTTGTTGATGTTTGTTGTACTGTAGTTGAGATAGGAGTATCTGTTTGAATGATGAGGCTGAGGCAGTGGCAGAAGATGGGATGATGTAGTTGTTGTGAAATGTGAAGATGGTGTCTTTGTTACAAGTGTGGTGGTTGTGGTGGAGAAGTGTGATGTGGAAGTTGTTGCTAGCAAGGGCTGAGGCAGTAGTGGCAGTGGCAGTGGCAGTGGCAGTCTTCCAACTACAACACTACTATTACATCTTGGTGTATTTATAATATATCTAGTTGTTCTAAACATTTAATACTATTAAATGTTATTATGTATGTAGTGTATAACAATTGTGTATTTGTTTGAGAGATAGAGATAGGGAGAGAAATAGAGAGTGAATACTCAAGTTGTCAAAGGTTGAGACTATGGACAACATCCATCCATTCATTCATCATACATCCATTCAACCAGGCGACACACAGTCTTAAACAAACGCCACACTCGTTGTGATTGTGTGTTAGTGTGGAAATTTGAGTTATTGGTGTGCCCCAAGGCACCTTATGCCTGTTGATGGCATCGTGTTGTGTGATGAATGTCCAACGAACCTGATCAACAGGGGCCAAAGTAACCCCACACATTCACTCAAAATTCTGATCTTTGTGTTTGGTGAGTCGGCTGGAGGTGAAATAGGGAACAACGATTGTTCCTGTATCATCGGGCCAATGATGGGATGCCAACCTTTGTTTATCGGGTTGTAAAGATGGCTGGTATTGAAGTAAATTTCGCTCTAACACTCAATCAATCAATCAATCATCCATGAGTAATCAATCAATCAATCAATTATGTATTAGCTAACTAACTACTTCCTGAACTTGTAGAGTTTAAGAAGTCTACAAAGTATTCGGCTATTTGATTCTGTTGAGGTGGATGTAGTTGAGCAAACTTGTAGAATTGTCGACGTTGATTCCTTAGCTCAGCAGCATTGAGTCGACTGTGTAGTGCCACGCGCTTCTCTGTACCAGGCACCTTGATCTTGTCGCCCGGCAACGAAGATTGCAACGCGTCTAGAACGACGTTGGCGATCTCCTGCGTCACGGCCTCGAGCTGGTGGACAAAGTTGGTGGGCGACAGCGCTTGGGGCGCCGTGGCGTAGTTCGGACGCAGCTCCTGCACCTCAAACAGCGTCTTGTGCAGCATGTCGAATGGCAGCTCATGCTGGGGCTCCAGCGTGAACAGTGGGGAGTCCCATCGATTCTTGGGGTTGGGCACCTCGAATCGGTTGGTCAGCTCGTCGAGCAGACTGTCTGTGAAGGCGGTGGCAGGGTCGCGAGCCAGGTTCCACTGCTTGGCCTGCTCCCTCTGTGTCAGACAGTAGACCAACAGTATACGAGTGCCTGCCGCCTTTGCAATACAGAACAACTCATACCTATATCCCTTTATATAGTTCAAAGAGTCTGATATAACAACTGTATCCTTTGTCAAACTTCTCTCTACTGCTGCCTTCAATGCTCCTCTTGTCATCTTCTCTGATACAGAGTCTAACGATTTGATTGATTGATTGATTGAGTATATGAGTGAGTCTGCCTTGCGAGGTCTATCTGTGCCTGTCTCCATTCATACCTTTGTAACCAGCATTCTTATTGATGAGCATTGACTCTTCATTGATTATAATGACCTTCTTGCCCAGTTCTGTAAAGTGCTTTGATATATCATTGGCTCTAGTTGTCTATATCGATCGTATACTAATGTGTCAGTTTCATTCATTCATTCATAATCTATACATGATCATTCATTACCTTTCCACTTGAGGGTGGACCACTCATTACTATCAAAGGCATTGTTGTTGTCTGTATCTATATATTTATATATCACTATCTATCTGTTTGAATCGTTCGCTTCCGTGAAAATGGGAAATGGTCAAGAGTGAGCCCTTCATCGCAATAACTTGTTCATTCAATTCATTTAACTAGATTGATTGATTACTAAACATAAGTATAAGGTTATACCTGGTAGAGTGTCAATCAAATACACATTCAAGATCATTGTTCTACAGAATGATTCCATGTTGGAAAGAATGTAAAACAGTTCAAAGTCTTTCAACATTCAGAGAATGAGGTGGCGTTCCAGGTCACATCAATCAATCAATCAGTCTACACATCCTTTCATTCTTGATGTCAACTTCAATCATTCAATCAATCAATCTTTCAAATACACAATGAAATGGAATCATTACCTCCACTAGTATTGAAGTATATATTAATGCTATTATATGATGATGCGGACAAGATCGTATTTGGTATGACATGTAAGAGACATCATTCAACCTTCTTAAAGATGTTAGAGGAGATACTGTTAAGGGAGCGACATAAGTTGGAGACGGTGTTTGTTCAAACACCTACAATCACATTCACAAGAGAATCATTGGTGTCTGCATCAGTGTCAACACTCATTCTTCACAGCCAACCAATCACCAATGGGTTGTTACCAGACTCTGTTACGGCATTGGAGTTGGCAGCTGGATTCAAACTACCTCTTGGTGAACTTCCCTCAACCATTCATTCATTGACACTTAATAACACACGCAGCCGAAGAGTCAAGGTTCTTCCAATCGTCTCCAAGTCTATCACATCACTTACATTTGGCGATCACTTTGCCCAGAGTCTAAAGCCTGGATCGCTACCACCCTGCCTCATATCACTTGTACTTGGCAATTCATTTGATCGCACTTTGACACCTGGTGTACTCCCGCCCTCGTTGCAGTCATTGGTCTTGGGCCATTCATTCAATCAAATATTGCAGCCGGGTTCACTACCGTCGACTCTAACATCGCTGACAGTTGGACATCGATTCGACCAGAGAGTTGGAGAAGGTGTGTTACCAATTCGACTTAAAACATTGAAAGGGATACAGGCATCATCCATATTTTCAGTCCAACTTCCACCAACAATCACAGAGCTGCACATTGGCATTGACTATCACATTGGACCCTTGTACTTCACAAACATGATGTCATTGACAAGATTGAAGATGGATGGGTTTAGACAGCCTATAATCGAGGGCATGTTCCCTCAAACGCTGACAGAGCTAGACCTTGGCGAGCAATTTGAGCATATATTCAACCTCATACCAAGCAATGTCCACACTCTGACTCTCACATTCAAAGAGATCAAACGATTCATCAGTATGCCGCCAAGTGTCAAGCATGTTCACTTCATACCAGAGGACAGCTATATCGATTTACACAAGGATGGCCACACTTATCGATTCAACAATAGTCTTGAATCAGTTCATATCCATCGAGAAATCAATCCTTATGCTATTGATTGGAATGTGAACATGCACAGAAATATCAAGCTGATGGTATCAGCGATGCCCAATGTAGCCAACCTCTACCTACGCTACAACAAGGATCATATTCATTACAAGGGAACGGATGTGGACAAGTCATTCCGTGTGTCTAGGAGGTCTGGAAAATCAACTATTCGCTATGTTACCAACTTCCATGGTCCAGTGGAAGTGGCCAAGACAATGGACGGCAACAAACCAACAACATGTATTGTAATATAGTATCGATGTATTTCGCGCGAGTTTATTAAATATAGAGCAGTATGATGCTCCAAAGTGAAGTATATAATAGTATGTAAAGGATCTAGGATGGCAATGAAGCCTTCACTCATTAATCATCTTTACAAGATCGATGCCACGCTGAGTGCAATACAGAATTGGCCTACCCAGTAGGTGATGATGCCCACGTCACCATTGCCCAGGAACTTTCTGAATGTTGACACTTTGTTGGCTTTGAGGGCATTGAGCTCGCGCACTACAATCATCAGGTCACTGATAAAGAAGATCACTGCACCAATAGCGCCACACCATGAGTATATTGCCAGTGTTGACCAGTTTGCACTCAGATGCCAGTGGGCAACCATCTTGGTCAACGCCTTGACCGAGGCAGTGTAGCACATTGTCAGGATGACGGCAAAGTAGAAGAATAGGACTACAGCAACTGGACGCTTGTTGGTATTCTCGTTAAACACTGGCACTAGCTGTGTGACGAACAGATAGACAAAGAAGATGTTGAATGCAACGAGGAACAGCACGACCAGTGGCGTGAAGAACTGAGACAGACTGTTGCTATCGGCAGTGAACGCCAGGATGAAAGAGAGATGCGCAGTGAGGAAGAAGATAATACCTGGAATGAGTGCCTCGTCCCAGATCAGGAACAGGTCACCGATAGCCGAGAGGAACAGACCAAGCGACACGTAGATGGCATAGTCCGAGGGGTTGTGTGGCACTATCAGTTGCCACAGTGACTTGATAGGGATGTTATGGACGGAGCACCAGAGCAACACGACGTATCCGAGAATGATGACTGGCATGGGCTTGATGAGATGGAACATTCTATTGTCCTTTCTCTTGGCGTATAGGTATCCGATGGCTGTGGCCGTGAACAGAGTATACAGTAGCTTCCACCACATATCCTTTACAGTCTTGTGGTTCTCGCCCTCTATATCCATGTTGATATTTGGTAGTCTCTGATCGATGCTGTCCAACAGCATTGTAGATATTGCTTCCAACATATTTGTATATTATTCTTTGGTTATTCGAATAACAAGATTATCTTGATAGTGTTATTGTTGTGTATATATAAATAGAGATAGATTGATTGACTGATTCAGTGAGTGAGTGAGTGAGTGAGTTGGTTGTTTGAATGATTGGTTGGACGTTGGATAGTGAAGATGTGTTACTGATTACAAGATTGATTCTGGAGTACTGTTTCCAGTGATTGATTGATTGAATTGGTGTGTATGTGGTCGATCACAACACAGACGAATGGTGGTTTGTGGGGGAGTTTGTGTGAGTGGTGAATACGGAGATTAAGGTTATACGTGTATCAGTCCGATGTAATTAATTATATCTTGATATGAGTTTGAGTTTGCTAGTCTCTCTTGTTTGAGAATATTGTTATTGTAGTTGTAGGTAGAGTACGAGGGAATTTACAAATATGTACTTTAAAAGAATGACGACTTCAAGTAGTCCTTCAGTATTTAAAATGTGTAATTATGAGTGTATCTGTATATATGTGTATGAATTGGAACAGTGAATTGGTTTGAGTATAACAAAGTGTGAACAGTGATGATAATGTCGTGTATTAATATTGTTGGCGGTCAACCAGTCATGTGAGACGACTAACCAAACTAGGGATGGACACCTACTACAACAACCCCCACTTGGTTTGGATGTATGAGGTGGTAGTGGTGAGTTGTGTTGTTAGTCTGGTCTGGGCGAGCTTGAATTAATGAATGAAAGAATGAATTGGAGTAGTGTGTGTGTGCGTGTTATTACTCTTGGTGTGAGGTAGTGGCAAGCACACCAGAGGGGTGTGACCAACAACTTCAAATAATGAAAGGACTTACCTTTACCTACTACTTTCTTTCGCCTCTAGAATGAAAGGATAGATGGATTGTTGGATGGAGAAGCAATGTTGTGTGTGTGTGCAAACCATTCAAATTAAAAACATCATGATAGATGTAATCCTAATTTAAATATTAGTTTGAAAATCACCTTATTAGGCTCACATCGGGGCGATCCTGTCGACAACCCAATTCTCGCACCATCATCCATTCGTGCACTTTTTCACCAATTATGGGCTGGACATCAGGCCTGGGCCAAGGCCTCCAGGGAGTGTCAATCATTGACTCCACATTAGTCTAGCAATATTTCAAACTCTAGTTTAAACTATTCGTTCGATTGATTGTGATAATAATAACATTCAATAATTATTATTATTATTAATATTTTACAAGTACAGTTAAGTTGGAGGTTGATCAGTGCTATGACCTGGGTCAAGATGCCTGGGAGGGGAGAATACCTTAGGGCTCCAATATCCTTGAATGTTTCAATAGACCACTCCATTGTAGACCATTGGACTGGAGAAGGAATTCTCGAATGATGGGCACAACAACAAAGGGATAGGACATCTGTTGGAATTGTTGTATCTCTTGTATGATGGCCGACAGTTGGTATCGCTTGACCATGTTGATCAGGCCACCCTCCAGGGTCTCGGGCGAGCCCTCCTCCAAAAAGGTAAGGTCAGTGAGGTAGACACCGAGGAATGGCAGGATGGGCGGACTCTTTGTATGCAGGATGTCTCGGTACACCTTGTAGTTGTGCTTGGAGGCCATCAATGAGTTGAGGTGGCGGAACATGGCCAGGTACTTCCTGGGGATCGTCTCCCATGTGCGCTTCAGGCGATGCACGGGCGTCAGGTTCAGGCCGGACAGGATCTCCATGACGCCGTTGAAGTTGTTCATGTTCTTGCAGTGCTCGGCCACGTTGATGAACTTCTTGATGATGTTGGCGCGGCGGGCGATCCTCTCCTCTTGGACCACCTCGGTGGCCACCCACAAGGGAATCGTATTGGATCGCTTGATAATGTTTGTGATGTTTGGAGCATTCTCCTCTTTGCCAGCCTTACTGAATGCTAAATTAATACATTCATTCGGCTTGATCAATGAGTATGCTTCATGTTCAATCAATGTCAGTTGTCTGGCAATCTCCAGATCATCCATACTGAATAGTGTGACTAAGTAGTTGATGAGGGCCAGTCAGTCAGTAAGTGTGTGCCCTTGCCAGTGCAAGTCCATCCATCATCCATCGACTTACTCATTTGATCTTGTTTGAGTGTTGGTACAATTGGTATAGGTTGTTTGTTTGTCTTTATGCTCTTGTCCATGTTGTCATTGCTCTGCTGTTGAATGGGAAAGTTCCAGTGATTGATTGAGTTAGTTAGTGTCGCCACAACTCCAACTTCAAGTTGCCAACGCAACGATGACATACCTTTGACTTTATGGTCTTTTGAATGTTTTGTGATATCTTCTCCATGCCATCCTCGCAGAGTGTGCCTTCGATGAACTCTTGAAACTGTTGGAACAATTCTGGATTGCGCTCAAAGTCATAGAAGTGCTTATCGATCCAGATCTTTAGGATGCTGCACACCCTCAGCTTGATGGAACGTGACATCTGCGACAGCTTCTCCATCTGCTCACTGCTCATGTTGTTCTCGTCCTCCTCGTCGTGCACTGGCTCCTCATTGTACTTGTCGATCAACTTTTGCAGCAGTATCTCTGATGTTGTGAATGTCTTGTGAGTGAGCAGGAATGTCTCGACAAAGTTGGGCACCTGTACGTTGTGGTAGGTCAGGATCTCGACCAGCGCGTCCAATGAGCCACACTTGATCTTGGCGAACTTCTTGTGCGACGCCTCGTGCGTCGTAAAGTAGATGTCGGTTCTTCCCTTGAACTCCTCCTCGAAGGGGTGCGGCGGGGTGACGGCCGCCGGTGGAGATATTGGCTTGGGCTGATCGTTCGCACCAGCGCTGGACACTGGTGAGGGTGTCTGTGGCGATGCTTGCGCCGATGATGGGGAGTGATGATGATTATCCAGTGACATTGAAGGTGGTGAGTCAGCAAGGCCTGGTGGCGTGGCCGATGGCGAGCTGGGCGAAGGTGACTTGCTGTCGTTGCTGCTCGTCGTTGATCGATGTGGCCAGTAAGACCTACGCTGCTCATTCGCTCGTGACACTGATGCCGTTACAAAGTTGATTGACTCTGAGAGAGGCGAGAATGACTGGGGTGGAGAGGGTGTTCCCGGGGACAATGACATGGACATGAAAGAGTGATGCGATGATGCTGAGCTCTCACCAGAGTCTGACTTGGCCGATGATGAAATGGGCTTGGTGGCCGAAGTGTTGATGGCCTTGTTGTTGGTGCCATTGTTGGGCACAGCAACACCGTTGCTCTTGTTGCTGGGCTGACTCGAGAGCCCGCTTGGCTGCGCCACGATCCTCGTCGAGCTCTTGAGCACGGGGAAGAACAGCAGCGTGAGGTCCTTGTCGTGAGCCACCCTGTTGAGGATCTGATTGTTGAAGAGCAATGATTGATCTTGATGACTGTTCTCCTCGACCGATGTGGAGATGTTGGAGCCGAGCTTCTCGGGAGAGTGCGTGTGGAATTGTGTCGGCTGCGCCAACGAGGGGATGCTGAGGAACAGCGGCGACTTGAGGCCTGGTCGGCGACTGCACTCGGCGGGGATGTGTCGTCGCTTGCCCACCTCCTCCAGATACCTGTAGCTTGGGTAGTTGTTGGGGTTGCACACCTCATCTTCGTCATCGCTCGAATCGGCCGTTGAGGGCTTGGACGAACCTATTGAGTTGCCCTTGCTGTTGCTGTTGTTCGAGTTGCCTTGTGCCCTATACTTCTTGATTGAGCTAGTCTTCAATGGACTGTTGCAGAGGTGTGTACCAACACTTGTGGTCAATTGCTGTCCTTGCTGTTGTTGGTGTTGTTGCTGCTGTGGTTGTTGTTGAAGTTGCTTGCTCTTGTCGCCGCCACCAACTGCAGATGAGTTAACATTGGCACCACCTCCAACAACAGCAACATCTGATTGTTGTGTCGCACGTGTTGGGCTGATAGTGATGGAAGCTTCCTTGTTGCTGTCCTCGTAGAACTTTGTTGTGATCCACTCTACGTCTTGCGTGGACAGTTTCAGCTTACTGCCTCCACCATTCCTCTTCTGGAACTTGCTGACCAGTCCGTTGATATCCGGGTCGTCCAACACACCTGATCCTGATCCTGCACCTGAACCTGTCGATGATGTTGTCGATGTTGTTGAATGGTCATCGCGCATTTGAACGGCACTCGACAACATAGATGATGTTGGTGGTGAGGTAGACATCTGGATGGTTGTGATTGTGTTAGTCAATCATTCAATCGATCAATCAATTAGTTAGCTTACATCGAGGCTGGGCACTGAACTTGATGATGGGGATGATGGAGATGAGTCACGTGATCCAATCAAGGCTCGTCTTTCCTTGGATACAAGGTTGCTGGTGACACCTTTGGTAAACATGTCCTTCTTCCAATCGCCTGCAACGCGGTGTGATTGGTAGTTGCGACGAGGGGAGTCGTCAGCTCGCGGAGATGTTGCTTGTTGCGTGGGTGACAGAGGTGTCGAAGGAGTCGAAGGGGTCGATGACAATGATGATAACGAGTCGTACTTTGCCAAGGGAGATGATTGAGTTGGCAGTGACAGTGGAGTGGTAACCGGGTTGACCCTTGTCAGATGATCTGTCATCGTCGATGATGGAGTTGTCGTTGTCGTTGTGGCAGTGGCAATGGGTGTGGTAGCGACATGTGTATGACGGAATTGTCCACTGAGTCTACTTGGAGGAGGAGATGATGATGGAGAATGTGGTGGAGTCGTTGGTGGGGACGACTGCATCCATGAGCGCTTCTTGATAGCAGTGGGTATGTTGTGTATGCTTCCAGAGCTGGTAGATGGTGGTGTAGTAGATTGAATTGGCTCTGGCTCTGTCGTCTTTGTTGTCGTTGTTGTTTCCACCTCAGATTGTACAGGTTGCTGTTGTTCCTGCTCCTCAACATAAGGTACGAAACGAACTTGATCATGAATCGATACCTGCTGTTTCTTCTCTGGTGAACCAACTTGTTGTCCAAGTCCCAGTGGCAGAGATGTAGGAGTTGGTAATGAAGTCTGTGTTTGAGGTTGAGTCTGGGGCTGGGGCTGGGGCTGGGGCTGGGGCTGAGGCTGGGGTTGAGCTACAGTTGGGGATTGGGAAGACTCCACTTTGGTCTCATCTTTGTTGGATGTCTGTGCTTCTCCACATGAATTGCTGCTGCTGGGGGATGTCGAGAGCTGGGGCTTACCAACGACAGAGACTGTGGTTGAAGTGTTCCTGTTACGATTGATTACAAAGTTTGGCTTGGTCGGTGATTGAGACGACGAGTTCTTGGTCAAGATGAACTGTTGATGGAGATGCTTATCGATCGTTGTATCGAATGCCTTTCCAAGAAGTTTAACACTTGGTGATCCTGGTCTATTATTACTATCGTTGCCACTACTACTTGTACTTGTACTGCTGCTGTTGTTGTCTTGGTCGATGTTTTGTGTTGATGATGTTGATGCCTTGCTACCAATGTTGAACATTGACTTGGCGGATTGTACAACGGTTGGTGGTGTGTTATCTGATTCAACATGTTGCACTACTTGTGTCGTTGTTAACTTCTTTGGTGGTGATGACATGTCTGCCACATGATGATGGTGATTATGATTATGATGGCTGCTGAATGTTGACCTTAATGCTTGAGTTGAAGTTGCAGTGGCGGGGTTGGTTGCCAATGTAGCCACCTTCTCAATTGGTCGACTATTATTACTATTATTACTATTGTTGTTGCTGTTGGTATGAGACATAATAGCTGTGTATGTTGATGGCTGGGCTGGTCTCAGAGACCTAGCATTGTAGTCTTTCTTTTATCAAGATATTTGAGTGTTATTCGTCTGACTTTTAACACTCCACACACTCACTTCTATTAACTATCTAATCTAACTATCCCTATCTTTATCACTATCACTATCTATCTATATCTTCTATTGTGTGGTAATATGATCGATGAGGTGCGAGGCCAGGGGGTGTCTGTATTGATCAATACAATGAGGAGGTGGTTGACCTGCGATTTTTTCATTCACACATCAAAACCAATCAACCTTAAAACAGAAAAAATCGGTATCCTTTGTGGTCCACACACAAAAAAACACCTGAACACAATGGCAAGCTTCTCTTGTCACCATACAATGAGGCATAGCATTTAGCAACTTTGAATTATTTCATTTTTATAGTCCCATAAATCATTTATTATTAGGTTGACCTACCCTCTGATGGTGATCATTGCGTGTTGAGTATTATATTATTTGTTGTTCATTCATACATTACTATATTATTACATGACTATATATAATGGAGAAGAAGCGTGTATTGACCTCCTCATCTCAAGAGGAGAATGAGACAAAGCGACCAAAGAATACATTCACTAGTAACATCAACATTAGAGACGTCAAGACTCAAACCATCTTGGCAGCTACCAAGACGCGAAATGAATACAATGATGCTCTCTGGATGTTTCTTGAGGTTTGTATCATGTTGCGATAATATAATATCGTATATATGTTCTAACTCTGGTGCGATCAGCCCCTCTTGTCTCAACTCCAATTAGAGCTAGACGAGAATAGCCCTCATTTGATGTCGTTAGAGGATCTCAATCAACTCTGCATCAAACACAAGATTGAGGGGATGGTGACCACGAATATCAAGGGAGAGTTGGTTATACCTCCAAGCAATTTCTACAGACTACGATTACGCTTTGGGCTCAATTCATTCGTTATTAGAGACAACATCAAATACCTACCTGTAACTATCATCGTGTTTACTATTCACATTGTCACATATTAATCATGTTCCATTTCATCTCATGTTGTTGTTGCTAATCACAATCTACCTTTACATTGTCATCATTCGTTTGATTCAATCTACACTTCATTATTAATGCTATGTTATCATTTGTATTGCTAAGCTCATTCACAAACCATCGATACAAGTTGACACATGTGACGCATGCTCATCTCCATAGACTATCACGGTACCTTGTGCATGTCAGAGAGTTTTACGAGATCTTTGACAAGCACAATGGCATTGATGGTAAAGCGATCACACTTGGAGATCGCATTACCAAGCTAGAGGAGATCAAGCGGTACTTCAATTCAATTGAGAATGTTTCCCAAGCGTTCAAGGACCACCTGCAGACAACTATAGATGGTCTCACCAATCTCGCAGCATGGCACAACAAACATTTCCCACAATCTCCAGCACTCACCAAGATCAGTCATCTGGGCACAAATGCCGTCGAGTGGTACTTCAGTACCGTGCGGAGGAAGGTCTTCAAGCCCAACTTCATGTCGTTCTATCAGTATCAGAGGGCAGCATTATTGGAGCTCATCAAGAAGCACAATGTTGACTCGAGATACAAAGGACATAAGAATGTTTTCAACACGACCCGCAACTACAACTCAAATCAAGATCTGTCCTTCTGTCAAGCGTTGCTCACCGCGCTTACTCCAAAGTTCACGAGAGGTCACCAATCCAAGTTGGACAGCCGCTCTAACGCCGCCGACACTGGAGACAAGGGTGTAGGGGCACCCGCGGGTAACAAGAATGCTGTTCAACCGAACACAGGGAACGCTGGTAGTGCTTCCACAACCACACAGGACCAGCACTCTGTCCAAGAGCCATCAACCCAAGGTCCATCAAACAAGAAGCTAGATACCTCAAGCCTCAAGTTGTTTGCCAAGGCATATCCATGTATGAGAAGGAGGCTCACCTACAGGCAATCAACATGCAACTTGGACCCTACTCAGAGCAAGACGACCCGAGGACATCCTTGCCCTGATGAGTCGTGTTCAAAGATATACATCTATGTCAACAGATTCAAGAAGCATCTAGTAGAGAGTCATTCATGGAGTTACGCCGATGCAGACACACTCATTGACACATGTGCCTACAAAGAACGATCACAGCTTGAAAAGGTGAAAGTTCAAGACCCTTCCCAGATAGACCATGAAGACCTTTGCACCGAGCTCCATGTCACCCAGAGCGATCAAGTGCAGCTTCAAGAATCGGCCACTGCACCATCTGACCCATCTATCGTTGATGGTGAGCTCAGTATCCTTCAACGATACCAGCTGTCCCAACCTGAAGGTGAATCACCTGAATCTCACATCGATGGTGATATCTTTGTAGATATTGACCTTGAGGGGACAAACATTGGCATTTGTGAGATTGCAGCTGTTTGTCTCCAATCCTCACGATCATTCTCAACTCTTATCCACCCTGGAAAGGGTAAGTCCAACCCCACACACTATCATCACTCAATTACTCCAATCAGTCACTCATTCATACTCATTCATTTCATATCATTCAATCACACAATGGACAACCTGTTAACATTCTTCTAATATTATAATAGGTGTCCTCCACAGATTCAATCACTGCGCTGTCCCTTCTAAAGAGGTTATTAATCTCAAGTACGATTGGCAAACAGTTGGTCCAGTTTTCTTCTGTTGGTTGGAAGCTCTGAGACGCCATCCTCATCAACGCATCTACTTGGTTGGTCACAATATCAAGGGTTATGACTCGCACATGCTGATCAAGGCCTCTGCACATTACAATGTTGCCATACCAATCAATATCAGAATGATTGAAACCCTCGATCATACCAACTGGTTGGCATTGCCCAATCGTCAGTTGAGCACCCTCAGCAAACACTACGATATTGTGAATCAACTTCCACACCGAGCCCTTTCCGATGTGATCACACTGATCAAAGTGATCGAGGAGATGTACCTGGACCCTCAGAATCCATTCTGGAAGGATCATCCCTTAGCCCCAGAGGACATCCCTGCAACGATGTTTTGGGATCACCTGTTATATATCAGATCCAAGATGGCAGCACCACAGCGGAATAGGACATTGAATGGAAAGGAGGAACAAAACGAGATGGACGACCTTCACAAAGATATTCCCGAGCAACAAGAGTCCGTTGTGCTTGGTGAAGAGCCACAACACAGCAAGAACAAGAAGAACAAGAAGAACGAGAAGAACGAGAAGAACGACAACAAACAGAACAAGAGAGGCAAGCCCAACAGGTGTGGAAATTGCCAACAAACAGGCCACAACAAGACAACATGCAAGAGCAAGCCTGTTGTTGATTCAAAGTCCGCCAAGACCGCCTCTGCCATTCCTCTGCCCACCCCACTGTCCATTGACTCTGACGACTTAATGATCACTGGCGACGCTGGTCCCAACCCTGACGCGAAGGCTTCACGAACACCTTCAACAATGCCTAGCCTATCATCCAAGTTCACTTCATGTGGCTTGGACGATCCCGATTATCGCCAACGTCTCGAAGCTGGTTGGCTCAAGTCATCCCATTTCTCCCATATCATCAGTTTGATTCTTTGCCAACAGTTCACGAAAGACGGTCTACAGAGTCAACCAAACCACCTATTCTTTGGTGAGCCAGACTGGACAGTANAGCGTTTTGATATATCGTCACATCGTGGAAAGGTAATCATTGTTCCTCTCAACAATAATTATCACTGGCTCCTCTGCATGATCATAATTCCACCCAAGAGGATGGACGTGGAAGTACTCATTGTCGATAGCTTTGCGCATAAAAAGAATGGCCCCACTACAACAGCAAACATCGACGACACGTACCGCAACCTCATTATCAGCAATCTGACATTTGGCACTGATAACATCTCGCGTGCACACGGCAACACAATATACACTGGTCATCAACACTCAGAGGACACTATCAACTGTGGTGTATTCGTGCTGTCCTACCTACAATGGATCTTGTCCAACCACCAATCGCTGTTGCCCCTGTCCCTCGTTAACATATTGAAGTTTGATCCTCGGTCATTCAAACTACCACGTGTTAGGCCAGAGGATGCACGCAAGTCCTATCTAAACTCTCTTTCTCAGAGTGATGACATTACAATATAACATAACCAATAAATAACAATCATAGATACACATAAGAGACATCATACCCTCACAGACGTACCCTCACAGACATACCCTCACAGACATACCCTCACACACTTAATTCGCAAAAATCAAAATAATAACTAACTAACTGCTACGCCAAGGGTCTCGAACAGGTGAAGCTGGCTACCCACGGCAATACTTGATCAACTTAACAGAAACACACACACACACACACATACACACACAATCAACAAACAGTAACAACAACAACATTGCAAGCAATAATGATGGAAGAAGGTGTATGTAGGGTTGCAAGGTTAGGCAACCCCAGAAACAGGTGAATGACTCAGATGGAGGAAGAGGAGAGAGTATGTAAAAGGCGCAGTCATTGATCAATCAATCACCCACTCATCCCTCTCCCTCTCCCATTCTACAATTACAATGTTTGTTTAATTGCATCTGTGGCGTGGACTCCACCATAACATATTGTATTATTGTTTGTTTATTTTGTTTGTTTGTTTGTTATTTACAAAGATTTATATAACTTTGATAAGTTAGATATATTATTATTTTTATTATTCTTTGTTTAATATTCCCAGGAAGGAAGTCCAAGAGACCTCCCTTCAACCAGCTACAACAACAACTACAACACCTTTCAAAAAATCAACAACCTGTTTGTGATGTTCAAAATCACAGCCACTAGCATTGGAAGAGGCCATGGCCTTATGGCAATGGTCATCATCCTAATGTTTTGTATTTCCATAATTGGTAAGTATTAATTATGATCATGGATAATAATTTAATATAATAATATTAATAATAAATTTAATATTATATATATAATATTTAATTAGGGGCACAACATCAATCACATTCATGTTCCATTCAATGTCCTTTGGGATCGGTTTGTTGCCAGCCCAGCCTTAATCTGCCAGCCAAATGCTTTAGTAAATGTTTATTTTATCAGAGGTGCCAACAGGGTTCTTGCCTGATTGATGCTCTTGGCAATCCTTATTGTCAAGGCCAGACCACTAGCACCTCAGCATCCACTACTGTTACCACTCAATCTACTGTGGCCAGTACCACTGTGACTACATTTGCCGTTTCATCGACTGTTGCCACGACCACCGTCTCGACTCAGTCCACTGTAGCCAGTACTGTTGCCAGCACTGTCGCCACCACCACTGGTGTTACCACTGGTGCCTCGACTACCGTCACGACCACCGTCTCGACTCAGTCCACTGTAGCCAGCACTGTTGCCAGCACTGTAGCCGGTGCCTCGTCGACTACGGCCAGTACCACTGTTACCACTACGGCCTCAACTACCTCGCCAGTTAGCACCATCACGGCCACCACCACAGTGACGACCACGGCCACGACCACCTCCAGGCCAACTACCACTGCCACGGCCAGCACCACTGCCACTACCACAGTCACCACGACAGCGTCCACCACTTCGCCAGCTAGCACCATCACTGCAACAACAACAGCGACGACCACGGCAACGACCACCTCGAGGCCAACTACCACTGCCACGACCAGCACTACCTCGGTGCCAACGTCGACCACAGTCTCGACTCAGTCCACTGTTGCCAGCACTGTTGCCGGAGCCTCGACTACAGTCAGCACTACTGCTACCACTACGGCCTCAACTACCTCCCCAGCCAGCTCCATCACAGCGACCACAACTGTGACGACCACGGCCACCACCACATCGAAGCCAACTACCACCGCAACTACCACCGCGCCCACAACAACCGCCACAACTGCCACAACCGCTCCAACGACAACGGCCACAACTACCGCTCCAACGACGACAGCCACAACTACTTCGCCAAACCAACTGTACCAAGTCATAGTCTATACATGGATTGATACTAACAAGGTAAGTCAATCAATGTGATCAATCTCATCATACAATCACATTCACTCACTCACCCAATCAATCAATCATTAATAGAATGGTGAAGATAATTATGGCGAGCCATATTTGGGAGGCATTGAAGGTGCACTCTATAACAAGGCTGAATACATGACCATCAAGTCCAAGAGAGTGTCTAGGGCTGTGTTGGCCAATGCACCATTGGAGTCATTTGTAACTGATGCCACCAAGAAGTCTAAGGCCTTTGTGTCGGCCCTGTTGCCAGCGGATGATTACTGTGTCACTTTGAAGGACCCCAAGAACAACTACAAGATTGGACCAATGGGAGTATCAACCAAGTTTGAGGCCGATGGTCACCAATGCTTCACCCTCAACGATGCCACCACCAACAGTAATAAGCAACTGACCCTTCCAGGAGGCTTCGTCCCTGTGGACGACACCAAGCCCAAGACATTCACCATCCACGGCTACTCTTGGATCGACACCAACCTGAACGGAGAGGACAACAGTGGCGAGCCATACTTGGGCGGCATGAACGTTGAGTTGACCAACTCGATCGGCCACGTGGTCTCAACCGCCACCACCGATGCCTCAAAGCGTAGCGACGGCTTCGAATTCCCTGCACTATCGCCCGACGGCTACTGCCTCAAGATCACCGACCCGACCGGCACATACATCACCGGCCCCATTGGCATTACCAACAAGTTCGACTCCTCCAATCGCTATTGTTTCTCACTAGACGCCACCACCGTCGATGCCAACGGCAAGCTGTTAGTACCAATTGGCAAGACTTTGAAGGTGGGCACTCCCGCCCCCGTCTTCACCATCCATGGCTACGCTTGGGTCGACCTCAATGCCAACGGCGAGGACAATGGTGGTGAACCATACTTGGGCGGAATGAACGTTGTGCTGACCACCATCGATGACAAACCCGTCGCAACATTCACTACCGATTCGTCAAAGAAAATGGATGGCTTCCGAAAGGAGGGCCTCGAACAGGGCGGCTACTGCATCACCATCACAGATCCCAAGAAGAACTACCCCAACGGTCCAAAAGGCGTCAGCAGCAAATTGGACCAACAGACTGGAAAGTACTGTTTCTCATTGGACGCGGCCACTACCAACAGCAAGCACGAGTTCTTGGTGCCAGCCGGATTCCTCCAAGCCGCCAATCCACCCTTGTTCAAACTGCACGGCTACGCCTGGAACGACACCAATAAGAACGGTGAGGATAACTATGGTGAGCCATACTTGAGCGGAATTGATGTCACACTCTACCGCCAGGGCCGAGGTGCAGACGAGCTCCAGGAGATTGCCAAGTTCACCACGGACTCATCCTTGCGTAGCAGAGCCTTTGAGCAGACAGACTTGTCGCAGGGAGCCTACTGCATCAAGATGTCTGACCCCAGTGGCGTCAGAGCTGTTGGCCCCATCGGCGTGTCCAACAAGTTGGACGCCAATGGCAAGTACTGCTTCTCCCTCGACTCTACAACCGTCGACTCCAAGGGCGACTTCCAGATTCCAGGAGGCTTCGTCAGAGTCAACAATAGCCCTGTAATCAAGTACACTCTGCATGGATACGCATGGATTGATTCCAACAAGAATGGCCAGGACAACAGTGGCGAGCCATGGTTGGGCGGCATGCAGGGCACACTCTACCGCATGAACAAGGACACCAACGATCTCACTGAGCTCAACACATTCACAACCGACGGATCAAAGAAATATGATGGCTTCCGCATTGAGGGCTTGGACGAGGGCGCATACTGCGTCAAGATTGCCGATCCCGCGGCCACATACACGATCGGACCAATGGGCGTCACCAACAAGTTCAACTCGACGGGCATGCGCTGCTTCGCAATCGATGATACCACTGACAATGACAAGCATGAGGTGTTACTCCCAGCTGGATTCGTTCTCGCTGAGGGCCAAACCGCACCCAAGTACACGATCCACGGATACTCATGGGTCGATAGCAACCTGAATGGCGAGGATAACAGTGGCGAGCCATGGTTGGGAGGCATGAAGGGCAGTCTGTTGAGCGTGGACAGGGAGGGCAAGGCCACCGAGATCCAAACCTTCACCACCGACGCATCGTTGAAGTATGATGGCTTCCGCATTGAGAACCTCGACCAAGGTCAATACTGTGTCAAGATTGAGGACCCAACTGGCAAGTACCAGATGGGACCATTTGGCGTCACCAACAAGTTCAACTCATCTGGCATTCGCTGCTTCTCTGTCGACAGCTCCACTGTCAACGCCAAGAATGAGTTTTTGGTGGCAGCTGGCTTTAAGGCACCACCCACCCCAACCAAGTACATCCTGCACGGATACACTTGGATTGACTCCAACCTGAATGGCCAGGACAACAGTGGCGAGCCATGGTTAGGCGGCATAAAGGGCACACTCTACCGCATGAACAAAGATGATATGACCCAGATTGAGGAGTTCACCACCGACTCTTCAAAGAAATATGATGGCTTCCGCTTTGAGAACCTGGACGGCGGCGCATACTGCATCAAGCTGGCCGACCCCACCAACACCTATGAGATCGGTCCAATGGGCCCCACCAACAAGTTCAACTCATCTGGCATCCGCTGCTTCTCTGTCGATGACTCGACTGCCAATGACAAGCATGAAGTGTTGGTCCCAGGTGGCTTCAAGCAACCTGTCGTCCCACCAAAGTACACAATCAACGGATACGCATGGGTTGATACCAATGGCAATGGTGAGGACAACAGTGGTGAGCCATACTTGGGAGGCATGAAGGGCAGTCTGCTGAGTGTGGACAGGGAGGGCAAGACCACCGAGATCCAAACCTTCACAACCGACGCATCTTTGAACAGTAATGCCTTCCGCTTTGAGAACCTTGATCAAGGCCAATACTGTGTCAAGATTGAGGACCCCAAGTCCATGTACATAATTGGAGCAATGGGCGTCACCAACAAGTTCAACTCCTCTGGCATCCGCTGCTTCTCAGTCGACAGCTCCACCGTCAACGCCAAGAATGAGTTCTTGGTGGCAGCTGGCTTCAACCAAGCACCCACCCCACCCAAGTACACCATCGCTGGTTACTCTTGGATTGATAGCAACAAGAATGGCCAGGACAACAGTGGCGAGCCATGGTTGGGCGGCATGAAGGGCGCTCTGTACAGCATGGACAAGGAAGGCACACTGAAGGAGCTCAACACCTTCACCACCGATGCTTCTTTGAAGTATGATGGCTTCAAAATTGACAACTTGGACCAGGGTGCCTATTGCATCAAGATTGCCGACCCCCAGAACAAGTACATCATCGGACCAATGGGTGTCACCAATAAGTTCAACTCATCAGGCATCCGCTGCTTCTCCGTTGACAGCTCCACCGCCAACAGCGACAACAGGGTCGAGATCCCAGCCGGCTTCAACGAAGCGCCCGCCCCACCCAAGTACACAGTCAAGGGATTCGCCTGGATTGATGCCAACAAGGATGGTGACAACAAGGACGAGGAGTTCTTGGGCGGCATCAAGGGCACTCTCTACAAGATGGACAGAGACGGCAAGGGAGTCGAGGTCAACACATTCACTACTGATGCCGCCAAGCTCGCCGATGCATACAGCATTCCCGACCTGGAGCAGGGCGGCTACTGTCTCAAGATGGAGGACCCAGCTCAAAAGTATATCGTCATCAGCAATGGCTTCAACTCTTCTGGCATCCGCTGCTTCTCCTTGGACGGCTCGACTGTCAACGACAAGAACGAGCTCGTGGTATCCGCTGGCTTCTTGTTGAACAAGTTCACTTTGTTTGGTTATGCCTACAATGACCTCAATGACAATGGCGAGGACCAATATGGCGAGCCATACGTCGGCGGTATCAAGGGTACCGTCTCCAAGAAGAATGGCGATAAGTTGGAGGAGGTTGGAACATTCTTGACCGACGCTGCCGGCAAAACCCACGGATATGACATTAAGAATCTGGCACCGGGCGAATATTGCATCAAGGCAGCCGACACCAAGGGCCTCTACCTCTTTGGCAAGCAGGGCGTAAGCAGCAAGATCGACTCGAATGGCGAGGTGTGTGTCACTCTTGACTCCACAACAGCCAACGCCAAGGGCGAGCTCGGTGTACCAATGTCGGTTGTCAGAGGTCCAAAGTCGGTCAAGGGATTCGCCTGGAATGATGTCAATGCCAATGGAATCAAGGAAGCTGGAGATGATGATATATCGGATGGCCTCACTGCCACTTTGACCAAGAAGGATGGCACTGTCGTGGGCACAATGGCGTTGGACCAGACCAAGGGAGCCGAGTCAATCAACTTCCCCATCATTGACAGTGGCGACTACTGCATCAAGATCACCGACAAGAACACACCACCCGCCTACATCAACACCATCCTGGGCACAGACAACAAGATGGAGAAGAACCAGCAGTGCTTCAATGTGAATGATAAAGACATGCCCACAGACTCCAACGTCATTCAGATCAAGGCTGGATTCACGACAAACAAGTTCAAACTACGTGGTGGTGCATGGACTGACTCCAACAAGAATGGAGAGGACGACACCGGTGAGGCCTACCTCTACGCCTACTACTTCAAGCTCTTTGACTCGACCGGTGCCACTTTGATCAAGGAGCAGAATCCAGTCAATGATGGTGTGAAATATGACGCCATCAGCATGCCAGACCTTCCAGAGGGCAAGTACTGTGGAGAGTTTGGTCCATTGAAGGAGTATGTATCATTGATATTCAATCAATCAATCAATCAATTCATTTAAAACTAAACTAATCATTCAATTTAATGAATCAAACAGTTACAATTATGGACCTTTGGGTAAAGATATGAAGTATGAGAATGGAAAGTACTGTTTCGACATCAACTTGACCACTGCCCCAACAAAGATCATGACACAAATCTGTAGCTATGTTCCGGTTTGAGACCAGACCTGACATCACTTCATCACTTCCTAATCAATCATAACAATAATAAATAATAACATCCAATCCAACACAACATCCATTCGCACATCAATCAATCACCAAAATTAATTTTAATTCAAAAAATCAAAAAAACGAACGAAAGATTGAATGATGAGACACACTCAATTTCATTCTCAAGTATTCAACAATACTAATCACATTATTACTTCATACATATACATTTATATATATATATATATTCACTATTTTATATATAATATATAAAGTTTTTAACAATGCCAAAGAAGTTAAAAAAGACACCAGAACAGTTGCAGAGGAAGGAGGAGGTCAGACAGAATAGGAGGGCCAAGCGTGTTGCAAAGAAGGAGGTGAAGAAGAAGCTTCAGACACAGAAGGAGATTAATATGGCCTTGCAACGTGCAAAGAGGGACAAGACAAAGTACAACAAGAACAAGGATAGAAACAAGGAGCGTAAGGCATTGGCAAAGCAGCGCGAGGAGGAGTTCAAGGCCAAGTTGGAGGCCGACCCCGAGCTCAAGCGCAAGCACGAGGAGCGTAAGGCGGAGATCAAGCAGCTCAAGGCTGCCAAGAAGGAGAAGAACACCCAGCCAACCAAGCACATGATCAAGAAGCATAAGAAGGCCGTCGAGCTCAACTCGCTTCTGAGGGTCGAGGAGAAGTTCGAGGAGACCATCAAGATTAAGGTTGTGCTCAAGCCCGTCAAGTTCAACGACGACGACTTGTTCAAGTTCAAGAAGAACTTCCTCAAGTTCAACGGGCTCGATGCCATCACCGAGACCAAGGAGTACACAATCCCCGATCACATCCTGGGCGAGATCAAGCTGAGCGACCCCGGCCCTCAGCGTTTCTTTGAGGACACCAAGATCCCCATTGCCACCGACGACAACTGGGACAAACTGCACAAGTTGGCCAAGGTCTTCCTGAAGAAGATCGGCTCGCTGCGCCCAACCCAGCTGCAGCAGCACGGCTGGCCACTCATCCTCACTGGCCGCGATTTTGTCTCGGTGTCACCCCTGGGCTCTGGCCGCATGGCCACCTACCTCGTGCCAATGATCTCGCACATATTTGACCGCGTCAAGAATAACTCGTTCGTGGCCGACAGCCCATGCACGCTGATCCTGCTGCCCAACAAGGATCTGGTGCGTCAGACCTTCCTGCTGACTGAGAAGATGGACAACAACCTGGGTATCACGTCATACCCACTCTACTCTGGCGTCGACAAGCAGGCACAGATCGATAATATCAAGGCAAGGAAGCCACACATCATCATCTCGACGCCTGAGCGCATCGTCCAGTTCATCGACATGGGAGTGATGAACCTCAACGGTGTCACAATGTTGGTGGTCGATCGCATTGAGAAGATGGCACAGCTGGACCTCGTCTACAAGGTCAAGATGATCAAGACACAGATCAGACCCGATGCCCAGACCCTCCTCTTCAGTCTCACCAGCTCAGACGCCATCAAGGAGCTCGAGAGTGAGTGGCTTAAGGCCCCATACTTCAAGCTCAACAGTGGCTCCGAGACCCTTAGCGAGCTCAATCAAGTCAAGCAGGTATGTTGAGCATCTATCAATCAATCAATCTCCAACAGCAACATTAATTAACTAACTTCCACCATAGCATTTCGATATGATCGAGGAGAAGACACGTGGAATGAAGTTCGCCAAGAAGATGAGACATTTGTTCAAGCGCGAGGACCGCCCATCGCCACTCACGGTCAAGACCGTGGTGTTCTTCAACCAGATCGAGCATCTGGTGCAGGCCTCAGTCAGAATCAAGAAGAAGAGAGTGTCATACCTGATGATCCACGGCAAGATGGAGCAGGACGAGATCGACAACGTGCTCGAGACATTCAAGCGCAGCGACAAGAAGTTGCTGCTGACCACAGACATCATCCCACGCGAATACCAGTTTGAGAAGCTGGGTCGTATCATCAACTTTGCCCTGCCACTCACACTTGAGCAGTACACATACCGCGTGACCAGAGGCTACAGGAAGGCCCACTACGTCGAGGTGCTCAACTTTGCCACACATCACAACCTGCAGCTGATTCCCGAGCTGGCCGAGCATCTGGAGGAGCACCGCCACGTAGTGCCCATCCTCTTCAAGAAGACCTGCAACCTTCAACTGGGCACCGACTTCCACATGGTGCAGCGTGTCAAGAAGAGAGAGGAGCGCGAGAGGAGGCTGAATGCTGCCGCCTACGACAACAAGTTCTCCTCATCAGAGGATGAGAAGGAGGACGACAAGAAGATGAAGGACGATGACTCTGACGACGAGAGTGACAAGAAGAAGAAGACTACAACGACGACCGAGAAGAATGACAAGAAGATGAAGGAGAGCAGTGACAGCGATAGTGACTCTGACGACTCGGACGACGAGAGCGAGAGTGACAGTGATAAAAAGAAGAAGACCACCTCCACCACAGATAAGAAGGACAAGAAGATGAAGGATAGCAGTGACAGCGAGAGCAAAGACGATAACGACTCTGACTCGGATTCAGACTCTGACTCTGACTCTGATGGCGAGGACACAAAGAAGACGGCCGTTGCTGTCAAGAAGGACAAGATGGTCGTGGACAACAAGAAGAAGGACGACGAGAGTGACTCAGATTCGGATTCATCAAGTGATGAATCGGACAAGGAGTCGGACAAGGAGGAGTCAGAGTCAGAATCTGAGTCCGAGTCTGAATCTGAGGACGAGAAGGATAAGAAGCAGCCGCTGAAAGGCAAGTCCACTACCACTACTTCAAAAACCACTACCAAGAGTAGTGATGACGATGACAGCAGTAGCAGCAGCAGTGATTCTGATTCTGAATAAACAAACAAATAATATCAACCAACCAATATTGGTTGTTTCGAAGAAATTAGATTGTTTACAAACTCACTAATCCTTAGACATTGAGACACACCAATGGAGCTCATTTCATTCTATTATTAATTATTTATACTCTACAGATAATAAATGGAAGGAATCAAGACTAGTTTGCAATGTACTATTGATCAACCTGATTCATTGACTGAAGGTAATTATATTTACAATGTTTATAAGGAGATATAAAATATATATTATTTAATTTATTTATAATAAATACCCATACCAATTGATTTAGTTCTGAACTCTATGACTGATGACCATCTTAAGAGACTACTCAAGGCCATAAAAGTGGAGTTATCCAATAGGGAGTTGAAACAAAATGAAGCATATGATTATCTATGCGAACCTGAAGAGATAACGACCACAACAACTAATTGTCCGAGAAGACATTTATCTGCATTTATTTACTTCATAAAAGATGTTCGTCCAAAAGTCAAAGAGGAGAACCCAAATGCAACCTTTGAAGATATTGCTCGTCTTTCGGCCGTAGCTTGGGAAAATGCCCAGCCTTCGGTAAGAGAGAAGTATCTCAAGATTGCTCTTCAAGACAAGCAAAGATGGGAGAGAGAATTCAAAGTCTACCAACAGACCAAATTGAACCAACCTACTACTTCGGAATACTAAAGACAATAATCATATCATTCAAATCATTATCTAAAGATAATAAACATGATAAAACAAGAATGAATGATCAGGATTCCATTGAGGTTTCTTTGGAAAAGTTAAGTTCACCATGACTTTGATCTTGATGCAAAGATCAAAGAAAGCTCGCTGCAAAGTTAGACGGAAAGTCCCTCATAGTCAAGCGCCATTGAGAAGTCGGGCGACATGTCTAATTTTCCATCACATACACTTTAGTGTTAACCTTTAGAATAAGCAAGTTCCAAGGGGGAGGTGTCAAAGCAAAGCTAGCTAGGGGGTCGGTAGAGGTGGTAACCTCGTTCATTCATTCATTCATACTTCCATGTTGATGTTATAACAACAAGTAATAACAACAACAACTAAACTAATAATGATCATTTATAGTTTAGTGGCAGAGTACTCAACTGGCTGTGTGTTGGTGGAGAGTAATGATGTTTATTCACCAGCATTAACATTGATAACTAGAAAGATATTGAAATTGCTACAGAGTAAACAATTGACAAATAAGAAGTCTTATAAATATGCCAACAACTATATACATTATCTACCGTCACCTGCCAACAATGCTTCATTCATGTGTATAAGCGATAGTTCTTCAGATTCTAATGTGGCATTTGAACTACTAGTAGACATATCCAATGAATGGAGTCACAGCTACTCACTTGTCAACCATCTAAAGACTGACACCAAGTACACATCCCTAACAGACTCATTCCAAACATTGCTCAACAAGAAGATGGTATGATATTCATTCATTCCATTGATTCAATCCATTCATTCAACTCACTGACACATATGTCACTCAGCAACAATACTCAGAGAGATGCTTTGGATCAGAAGAGAATAGTGGATATCAACATGTTGCGGATATGCCTTCTTATGAAACGATTGAGGAAGGTAGTTTGGAGTCTGGCGTCAGTAACTTTATGGAGGAGTCATCAAGCATGCATATTCATATGCCTCCTGAGGAGAGAGATGAGAGTGTGCGTCTAATTGGTATCCAAGGTTACGAAGCAGAGCCAACACAAAAGTTCAACATGTGTTGCTGTGGACACATTGCTCTTAACTTCTCACTCCTATTCAAACTACTCCTGGTCATATTCCTCATTGTAAGTCATTCCATTGATTCATTTCATTCATTCATTCATGATATGGTCTAATTAACATCTCTGGTCTCTAGGCATGCGTATACACTCTGGTCGCGATATCATGCAAAGGATTCTTATTCCAAGGATGTTACAACTAGTAACCAATAATCCAATCAGTCAGTCACTCAATCATTTAATGTATATATCAAGGCCAATCACCATTCACTAGCGGTGCAATGGTGTAATCAAACAATCAAGCGCGATCAACAATGGTATCGCAATCAATCATGCCATCGAGTTCAAACACACTTTGACTATTGCTTTGTGGATAACACAGCATATTCCAATCCCCGTCGACTCCACTCCACTCAATCCAATCCAATCCAACTACAATCAATCAATCAAACCGATTACCATCCCCTATACCACGTATATGTGTAATGTTACCTATTTATTCAGTTGACTAACAATGATGTTGTTGAAGATCCTGAGGTGATTGCGTCACTGAGTGATTGGAATGCCTGCTCGATCTCATCACCATGGAACACACCATAGATGTACTTGTCAGGTCGCACGACAATCACCATTGGTGTTGAGCCACGTGAGTATTGGTCCAGATGATCATCAATGTCCTCCACAATGTTGCAGCTTGGATGCAGACGTGTCCAATGTAGAGCATGGATGTTTGGCTTGACCACTTGGACGAAGCTCGTACTCAACTTCTTCCACAGCATATCGTCCACCTTGAGCTGGTCCAACATTACTGCAGCCGAGTCACAAACAGTTCCATCCTTCCTGTTAAAGTTGAACAGAAGGACTGAGAAGCCAAGACCAAGTATCTCGTCCAGGAGTTTCACTCGCTCACCATGGACGACGCGTGGCTGAGCTATCAGGTGTCCATTGAAGTCTCCATACATTAGTGAGCCAAGATGTGATCGCCAGGTCTTTGACTTGCGTGGGTGTTTGAAGCCCGATGCAAAGTTGGTGGATGGCTTCATGCCCGATGACATGGCAAGAGCTTTGACGAATGGGATCAGAAGGAGGAAGAATAGGATGATGTCTCTTATCAATGCTACCACTCGGTTGTGGGTCATGATGATGTGGCCAGCATTGGTCGACCTTTCGCTGATCTGAACAACATCTGGTTTGCGCTCCTCCATGTATGTGTTGAGCAGATGTCTGGGTGGTGCCACGCCTTTGAGACACAGGTTTATCTTCCATGCCAGGTTCATTGAGTCGCGCATGCCACTTGATATTCCCAGACCGAGGAATGGTGGTACACAATGGGCAGCGTCGCCAATCAACATTGTGTTCTCATTGTTGTACCATTGATGAGCTATCCTGTTTTGGACACCATATATACTCTTTCGTACGATGTCCAGGTGTTCCATGTCAGCGCCGCACTTGGTGATGAGTGAGGTAACCTTGTCCAAAGATACCATGTCCTTCTCGTCCTCATCTGGGAAGAGCACAAACTCCCATCGATATCTATTGTGGGGAATGGGCAGTGAGAGCTTGGGTCGGGACGGATCATTGACAAACTGCATATAGTGTGGCAGAGGTGGATGCTTGGGACCGAGCACGGCATCGACAACCAGCCACTTTAAATGTCCAGAGTGGCCTGTGAATGGTGTCGACATCCACTTCCTCACCATGCTACTAGAGCCATCGGCACCAATGAGATAGTCTGTCTTGATTGATATGGTGCTCATCGATGACTTGTCTTGAATGGTCAATGTTGACAACCTAGATACTTCATCATACTTGATATCCTTTACCTCTTGATTTGTAATCAAATGTACATATTCTGGGTATCTCTTCATTCCATTTCTAATTATAGTTTCCATATCTGGTTGATGGAAGAATATTGATCTTGGATGATTATTATCTGTATTGGTTGTCTTGACATCTAATATATGCTTCCTATTAAAATGTCTACAGAACTTGACTGGTAGATTCTGATCAAATATTATTAGTATGGGGAATAATTCCAGTGATGATGGACTTACATATGATTGTTGTTTAAGTTCATCATTCAGTCCAATTGATTGTAGGATACGTTGTCCAATGTCATCGAGATGTGCTGCACGAGGAATGTTGACCATCTCGGCACTTTGTTCAACGACCAATGTTGTGATACCTAATTTTCCAAGCAAGTTTGCCATCACTGCTCCATTAGGTCCACATCCTACTATCACCACTTCATATCTATCACGTCCGGGTAACTCAGATATATAATCCATAATATCTGTTTGTTTTTAATATTTATTTTATCTCTATATCTATATTTTTGTTGTTTTTGTTATATTAAAATATTATTAATAAACTATTTTGATATAAATTGTGAGGTAGTGATTGATTGATTGTAATAGTATAAATATTTTATAATATATAGGTGGTACATGTATAATAAATAGATAACAATGATTGAAGAATCAACTATATGAATTGATCGATCAAGATGTAGGTTGTTTTGGGTTCTCCGGCAACAACAATACCAATAACAACGACGAAGAAAAAAAAAAAAGATGTCGTTTTTTATGATGAGTAGGATTTGTACATTGTATAGAATTGTGTGTCTCTTTCCTAATTTGGTAGCAACACAAGTCCATCTCGCCAATTGTTGGGTATCCAACTGACATTGGTGGTGTGTATTTGATGTCGAAGCCTCGATTCAAATGAGGTGAATTCTTGTCAAAATATAAAAAAACAATCACAACTTACGAATTTTGAAGATGAAGGTGGGCAAAGATGATGTCAAAGTCCAAGGTTGGTTGGTAGTTCCGAAGGTCAGTTAGAACTATATCTCTCTGAAAGTGTATTTGATTGATTGATAGATTGATTGGAAGATAAATAACTATTTATGTATGGATGGCGGATGGTGTATTTTACATTATAGATTACTATAAGTTCTAGAATGTATTTATTGAAAACTTATTGGTTACGCAATTATGTTGATGTTGTGAGGGTCATTAACAAATAGAGAAATAATTTCTAATAATTATACCCTCATTATCCTCATAGTCCGGAGTCTGATTAGTTGGAGATCCAATCAATGTAGTGTTTTATGGGGGACAGGTAATACTTTGATGCCTGATCAAGCCTCACTAGTCCTAGCCTCAACCCCTCAAAGTAAATCATGAGAAGTTGAAATTGAAGAACATGTTTGTGAAGTGAGTGAGAGTCGAGTCAACCCTTGCCCCAGGTATTCACTCTCACACACAACACAATGTGATGATGGTTGGTCGTTTGAGATCTAGGAGAGATTCAAGACAAATACATATAATACGATACAATGTCTGATATATCAATGGAGGATGGCAGCATCCCTAAGCATCAACAGGGCAACAAATATAGAAAGTACTACGAGAGTGTACATACCGTGGTCAAGAGTGAGAAGGGAGGAGGTTCATCAGGTGAACGTGACTACCTACCAAGGTCATGGGTACAGAGTGACAGCAGAGACGACGACTCTTCATCATCATTGCCTTCATCATTTAGAAGACAGTCTAATAGAGGCTATAGTAGTGGCAGTGGCAGTAGATCACATCATCATCGTGATAACAACATCAGCAGCAGAGGACGTTATGACAACAATAGAGACTATAGAGACAATAGAGATAGATATAGAGACAATAGAGATAGCAGAGATGATAGAGATAGAGATAGAGACAGAGACAGAGGAGATAGCCACTATAGAGGTGGTGGTGGCAGAGATGTTTCAAGGACTGGACATACACCAAAGAGCTTCCTTAGAGGAGGAGGCGGATCAAGATCAATGCACAGACGAGGAGGAGGACGAATGGATCCGTTTGATAGTAGAGGAGGAAGAGGTCATGTACAGCAGCTGGACCAACACTTATCTTGGACACATGATAAGTTTGTAAGTTTATGAATATAGTACGGAGTAGTAGCAGTTGTGCTAACGCACATCGATCGTCCTTATAGGAGGATAATGATAAAGATGTTGATAATGATGATGATGAAGATGATACAAAGATTGGAAGAGAATGTTATGATGACAAGAACAATACTGGTGACAACAAGGAGCAACATAATGATGAAGAAGACTATGATGATGAAAGATCTGGTCGTCACAAGGATGACGAAGATGACAGCAACAGTCGAAGAAGATCAGCTGCAACGACCAATCAAGAAGTGGATGACGAATACGAAGAAGGAATGCTGTAATGTAAATACATTGTACGATTGGAATGATTCCATTACATTCCTTTCAATCAATCAAATCAATCAATTCATCAATGTATTACGAACGAAAGACCGATCATGGACACACTGCAACATGGTCGGTTTGCTTTATTGCCACTTGATGCTGCTGCTGCGTGCGCAACAGACAGACAACAACATGTTGGCCTTGTTGTTGTTGATCTTACTACACAATCTAGTTCTTCCTCTTCTTTAGGATGGTCTTGAATTGTGAACTGGCATTGTGTTTGGTACGCTTGTTCAACGCCTTTGGGTCCAATGGGATGTAGGCATATGGCTCGAACTTGGCCTTGGCCTTCTTGACGTCGCCCTTCTTTTGTTGCGAGCCAATCTCGTTGAGGTTGACGTTGGTGTTGATGCCTCTGACACGGTTGTAGCGCTCGGCGGCTGCGGCGATTCTCTGCAGGTTCTTCTCGCTGCGAGAGTCGTCCTTGTTGGACATGCCGCTCTTCATTGATCGGGTGGTCTTGCCGGTCTTGGCTGTGGCGAATGTCCTCTGAGTGAAGGCCGATCGCAGATCCTCCTGGATATCGTCGTCCTCGTCGTCATCGCTGTCCTCCTCACGCTCGCGCTTCTTTATGCCCTTGGCCTTGGTGACACGGTAGCCGGCCTTGGCCTCGTACTCTTGTGACTGCTTGTCAAACACCTCGTCCAGGTAGGATGCGCCACGCGAGCGTTTCCTGTCCTTTGTCTTCTTCTCCTCATCATCGACAATGACCAACTTGCCCTCGTCGTTGGTCTCGAATGCCTTCTTGTCAATGGCCATGCCATTGTTGTTGAGGGGCACCTGTCTGGCTGACACGGCCTGCTTGCCTGACTTGGTAGAGACGATCCTGCTCATGGCATTCCTATCCAGGAAATCAATGGGCTCGTCGCCCTCCTCCACGATGAAGTTGTTCTGATCGGCGTTCTTGTTGGCCTTCTTGGCGTTGAAAAGGAACTCCTCAATGTCGTCGTCACTGTCGTCTGACTCGTCGCCCACAATCTGCTCGTCGTCGTCATCGCCGCCGTATGTGCTGCCGCGCACTGACCTGACGTCCTTGCCTGTAACTGGATCGACCATCTTGTTCATGTTGGCCTCGGCCTCCTCCTTCTTGCGCTCGGAGCGCTCCTTCTTACGTCTGATGTTGTTGACAATCTTCTTGRAGGCCATCATTTGGAGCCATGGCAATGATCTTCTCGAATCCATAACGTTTGATCATGCGTTCCAACAGGATCTGAATGATCGTGCGGAAGAAGTTCTTGTCCAGCTCGGCCCAGTGTGCCATGGCGTCCAGCAAGGTCTGTACGTACTGCTCGATGAGGTCCTCGTCCTTGAAACAGGCCATCACCACACGCACCAGTCCCAACACAGCCTTGACAATGTCACGGTTCTGTGACTTGGTCAACACCATGATCATTGACAGCATGGGAATCACCAATGCCTTGTCCACCATACGGCGGAAGTTATGGATGACACGGGTGAGCGCGATAACGGTGGCGCTGACCATGCCTGGTGTCTGCGAACCTAGACCTCCAGCCACCAATGTGATGTACTCGCTAATTGACTCCTTCTGTGACTGATGGATGGTGTCCTCCAGTGACACGCCACGCTTGGGAATGGCCAGCTTGCTGCCAATCATACAAACAATGTTACCACACTCGATCAGCAACTCGTTGGCAAGCTCGCGCAGTCTGTTGTTGGACTCCTTTGTGCAGAGCAAGATGTCGGGCAGGATTGATGGGATGAACTTCTTCTTGAGCTGTGTCCAGCTTGTCTTGAGCTTGCGTGGCATTGCTTCCTTGTTGTCCTCTTCCAATTCTTCATCTTCGTCGTCGTGCTCGCCCTTCTTGTTCTTATCGCCCTCTTTGGATATGGTGACGATGACCTCACGCAGACACTTTAGTCTCGTCTTCTTGATGTTGGATGCGCACTGCATCAGGTCTGTGACGAGGATAGAGCGCAGCTTGTCCATGCTCTGCACGATAAAGTGTGGGTGATGCTCGCACATCTTGACCAGCACCTTGAATGAACGCTTCTGCAGGCCAGAGTCGGAGCACTTGAGCTGAGGCTTGATGACCTTGTACAGTGTCCTGATGTTCTCCTCGTCCAAGTGCTTGACGAATCCGACGGTCAAGTCTGTGAGGTAGTACTTCTTGGACTTCTTCTTCTCCTCGGGCTTGGTCTTGGCCTCGGTGTCATCCTTCATCTTGTCGTCCTTCTTGTCGACGCCCTCCTCGGCCAGGGCCTCCAACAGCTTGGTGACCAGGTTCTTGAACAGTGAGTTTAGTGTGTTGGTGTCGGTGATGGACACGTACGCTTCGATTGTGTCGATGATGTTACTCCTCTGCTCGTGCGTCGAAACTGGGAATATGTTGAACATGATGGGGAGGTAGTTCTTGGCGAACTGGGCTACGGACTTGATCGAGTCCTCGGCCAGCTGCTGACTCATGGTCAGATGTCTGGTCCTGAGCGGCAGCAGCAGCATCATGGACTTGGTGTCGCGAGCCTCCACCAGCTGATTGATCATGTGGGTGAGCGCCATGCACACAACGCTTCTCAGCGTGGGCTCGTCCTGCAGGGTAGTGCCCAATGTCTTGGCGATAGCCTTGAATGAGGTGACCAGATCGCGAGGTCTGTTCATGAATCCGGGCAGCAACTCCCAGATCTGCTGGTAGAGGATCATCAGGTTCTTGGCCTCGATGACCTTGCCGTCCGACTCGGACTCCTTGGACTTGTTGCGGATAGTCTTGGTCATGGGCAGGAAGTAGTCAATGAAGAACTGCAGATCGGTGCACTTGATGTGGTCGTGCAGGATCTGAAGCAACCAGCCTCTGTTGATACGTTCCTTGCCGTGGGGTGGCGCGTCCAGGTTGAGTGGCAGCACGGCCAGGAAGTTCTTGGGGCCGATCGCCGAGATGACCGTTCCAAACAGCTGGTGGATGGCTGGACGGCAACGCACGTCGTGTACCTGGTTCATGGCATCGACTCCCACCAATATATTGTTGAGCAAAGGGTGTGCCTTTGGTCCAAGCTGCTCATAAAGCGCAGAGACCACGCGGAGAATCAACTCCCACGAGTGTCTATAAGTCAACTTGGTGCCAGACTCGAATGTCTCCACAATAGTCTTGAGTGGCGAAATTGCTTGAGTGTCTGCCTGTGCAATAACATCCTCGTTAATGCATTCGAATATGATGTTCTGTTGGGCGAGTGGGATGTTAGTGATCCGATGGAATAGCTCCAATGATTGATTGATTGAGACTCACTCTAAATCCATCCATTGTGACTCTGTTAAGATCTTGGTTGTCCGAGCTAAAGTTGGACATGAGGTTCTTGAAATAGTTGTGAATGTGTTGGTTGGAGAGGGTGCGGTCGAGACGGTGGAAGTGCAGGTAGGCAAGGGTGAGCAGCTCGGTGTAGGTGACGATGGAGCGATGGTCAATGCCATTTGGTGTCTGAGAGTGCAACACGTCGATCAGTTGCTGGATGTGTGGCGCGCGCAGCTGATTGGTACGGATAAAGAGTGAACCGATGGTCTTGTAGCAGATGGGCGTGATGGCGCTGTTGCCCAGCTGTGACACGCGGATGATGGCCTCGACCAGCTCCGAGATGAGCGAGGGTGGCAGCAGCGGGATGAGCTCGTGGCTGATGGCCAACGTGTAGAATGCCTTCTGCATTGTGGCGCTGCTGACGTGCTCAAACACCTCCAGACAGAACTGGCAGCAGAGCTGTGCGATCGACTTGTTCAGGCCTACGCTGCGGGTGTTTGACACGCCGATGCTGTTCAGCACGAGGACCACCTGCTGCAATGCTCTATGACGCACCTTGCTTCTATCATCGACTGCGCTGCTCAGCAACAGGCTGAGAGCTTGGCGTCTCTCCAATGCATTCCAACTCTCCACATCGGCATGTGTCAACACATGTCCAATCAACACCAACGATGGCTTGACCACATTCTCATTCACCAACTCTGACTCTATATTCTTTGACATCATCTGTATAATACTATCTCCATGACTTCTAACAACTCCTATCGATATTCTATTGATTGATCATGATTGCATGTTAATATGAATAATCGAATGATTGACTGATTGATTGAGGTGATATACCTTGTGATTACGAGTGATAGTAACTTGAGTAGATCATGCTTCTGACCTTGTTTATAAGAGTTCTCATTGAGTGATGCTAACAATAGAGCAAAGTATGATGTTGGTTGAATTGGGGCATTCTTTGCCTTGATCACATCAGTGACTGCATTGAGTACTACCAATAATCTCTTTGTTGATTCAGACTCTGAAGTTGCCGACAAAGTAGGGAATATTTCGCTAATAGGTATATTGACAACCATAACTTATTAACTAAATAAATATATCTATATGTATATCTATGAATGTGTATATAAGTAGTTGTCGTCAAGAGTGAATGTGTGAATGAGTGAGTGATTGACAAAGAAACGAAGGACTCGTCTTTTCGACAACACCCTCAAAACTCTCAATTTGTTAAATAAAATGAAATTCGAGATTATTTGAACAATTAGAGTGTTTTGCAATGTTGGCAACATCTTGGACAATCAAACTAACACACTCACACTTAACTTATCTTATGACATTGTTATAATATCTCTTTTAAGTTAGTTAGTTAGTTGTAATATATATATATATATAGAGATATATAACATATAATAAATATGTCAAAGAATAATGATGGATTCTTCTCATTAGAGGATGAGAATGATTTAGATCAAGATCAAGATCAAGATGGCATTGCATATATGTTGAGACAGACGACTGCTGCTTCAGGTAGCAGTAGTAGTAGTAGCAATAATAATAGGAATAATAATGATAATGATGATGATGGAGATGGAGAAGAGATATCATTAGTAGATCATAAATCAGATAGTATAAATGAACCATCAGAGAATACTACATTGATCGGTGGTTCACAACAACAACAACAGCAACAACAACAAGAGTATGACGATGACGAAGAAGCTGACTTGGAGGACTTCTCAAACATGATCCTCGCCATTCTCGTAAGTCTCATTCAATCATTCAATCAATCATGTGATTGACTAACTCAACTAATCCATCCGCTCACTCAATCAGAAACCTGTAACAATCACAATGTTCTTGGTCGTCTGGGCAGTCAGATCATTGAACTCTAGCAACAACAGCTATCTAGGGTAAGAGTGAATCGAATCACCCGATAGTCCATTCAATCAATCATTCAATTGACTAACACATTATGTAATATAGCTCGGCAGGCAACATTGGAGTGATTATATATAGTGGCGAAGAGGGTGGTTCATCGCCTTCAACAGGTACACTTATATGGCAGTCACTGTTGAATGGATTGGTATTCTTGGTGATCATTCTATTGACAACAGTATGCTTTGTACTATTATACAAATACCGTTGTCTAAAGGCTATCTACACATGGTTATTCCTCTCAGTTGGCATTCTCCTCGGTGCAACAGGTGGTTATATCTTCCTGTAAGTGTTCACTTCAATCAGGTCTTAATCAATCAAGCAATCAATCATACTTACACTTATATCCAACAGGGCAATGCTTGAAGCCAATAACCTGCCACTAGACTGGGTCACATTCGCATTTGTAATGTTTAACTTTAGTGTTGGAGGCATTATATCAATCTTTTGGTACGCACCAACATTGCTCAATCAAACCTATCTCGTGGTAATCTCTGCATTGATGGCCATCTCATTCACCAGGATGCCAGAGTGGACTACCTGGACCATCTTGGCTGTCATCTCTATTTATGGTATGTTTGGTCTCAATACAATCATCAATCACATGACTGACTAACACCATGGCCATTATCATCTAGACCTGTTTGCTGTGTTGTGTCCAAAGGGTCCATTGAGAGTGTTGGTTGAGACTGCACAGGAGAGGAATGAGACCATTCCAGCATTGATTTACAACGCCAACTTTGAGCCTCCAAGTCGTCCATATGATCAGCCACAGCAGCAACAGCAACAACAGTCACCGCCACCACAGCAACCACGAGCTCAAGGAGACAACCTTGGTGAGGGACAAGAGGATCAACAACAACCACAGGCTCAACAACAGGAGGGTGATCAAGTTGTCGTCGAGGAGATGGTCGAGGAGCCAAAGAGAAGTCTTAAGCTTGGTCTTGGCGACTTTGTATTCTACAGTGTACTCATGGGCAGAGCTGCCCTGTTCGATATCAGCACAGTATTCACATGCTTTGTTGCCATTATTACTGTAAGTTATTGATATTATTATTTCAAGGCCTACCATGGCAATCACACCCAGAACTAACATGTTATGTTTGATTGATGTACTCTTAGGGACTCTTTGCTACACTTATCTTGCTGGCGATATTCAAGAAGGCATTGCCTGCACTGCCCATATCAATTGCATTTGGAATCATCTTTTACTTCCTCACAAGAATCTTCCTCTATCCATTCATTGAAACAGTTGGACAAGTTGAAGTATTCATTTAGATCCTATGTCCACAGTCACCCCTTTGCAAGTATACCTTACAGGCATCATCATTATATACATATATTATATATTACACATTTGTATTTGTACAACTTTACTTCCATTCATTCACTCAATCATCCCATCCACAACAACCCTGTCTAATAAACGATCCCCTCTTCATATTATATCATATTATTGTAGAATACCGTTGTCATTTGTGGAGGTAGGGTGGTTCACCCTGGTCAAGCGACATGTCGGTCAAGATACCCATGGGTAAGTCATCAAGTTCACTCGGTTTGTTTGGCACCTGACTAGTCACACACAGTCATCAGAGAGGCATGGTTTCGAAATGTGGGAGTTCACACAAGTTCTCCACAAATTCAAGGATTTGGATTGGTTTGATTTGAAGTGGTGCGTGTGGGTGTATGGAATGTTTCAAACTCAAAGACTTGGAAACCTGGCGATATTACAAACTTATAAATAGTCATTCATTGACATCCATGGTAATATATCAAACAACAACAACAACAACAACATATAATATAACTACAAATATATCTAAATACTAATATTAATTAATCAATCAATCAATCAACATACATAATGGATATCGACGAAGTAACTGCATTGGTAATTGATAATGGATCTGGAATGTGCAAGGCTGGATTCGCAGGAGATGATGCTCCACGTGCTGTGTTCCCATCAATCGTTGGAAGACCAAGATATACTGGTGTGATGGTCGGAATGGGCCAGAAGGACAGTTATGTTGGTGATGAAGCCCAGTCTATGCGTGGCATGCTCACACTCAGATACCCGATCGAGCATGGTATTGTCACCAACTGGGACGACATGGAGAAGATCTGGCATCATACATTCTACAATGAGTTGCGTGTTGCACCTGAGGAGCACCCAGTGTTGTTGACCGAGGCCCCACTCAACCCCAAGGCCAACCGCGAGAAGATGACTCAGATCATGTTTGAGACATTCAACACACCCGCCATGTATGTTGCCATCCAAGCCGTGCTGTCACTGTATGCCTCTGGTCGCACAACTGGCATAGTCATGGACTCTGGTGATGGAGTTACTCATACAGTACCAATTTTTGAGGGCTACGCACTCCCACATGCCATCATGAGATTGGACCTTGCTGGCCGTGACCTGACCGACTACCTAGCCAAGATCCTCACCGAGCGTGGATACTCATTCACCACGAGTGCTGAGCGCGAGATTGTTCGCGACATCAAGGAAAAGCTGTGCTACGTGGCCCAAGACTTTGCGGCCGAGATGGCGACTGCCGCCAACTCATCAATGTTGGAGAAGAGTTACGAGCTGCCTGATGGCCAGGTGATCACGATTGGAAACGAGCGATTCCGTGTACCCGAGGCATTATTCAGACCATCATTCCTCGGCATGGAGTCGAGTGGAATCCACGAGACTACATACAACTCCATCATGAAGTGTGATGTGGACATCAGAAAGGAGCTGTACAGCAATGTCGTGATGTCTGGTGGTTCGACAATGTACCCAGGCATCACTGAGAGGATGCACAAGGAGTTGTCAATGCTGGCCCCATCGACCATCCGTGTCAAGATCGTTGCACCACCCGAGCGCAAGTACTCAGTTTGGATTGGAGGTTCCATACTTGCATCATTGAGCACATTCCAACAAATGTGGATATCAAAGGAGGAGTATGATGAGTGTGGACCATCAATAGTTCACAAGAAGTGTTTCTAAATTTCAAATAGTTGTTAATATATAGGTTGTTTGTAAATAAATTTATATAATATTATTTGGGCCACCTGTCGATTTTATCCAGGTTGGTCCAAGTATATTTGATACCAAATCCACTCTTTCAAACAATTAATCACTCAATTTATTGGAACTATCCCAAACCTCACTCCTAATATTTACTCTATCACTCTGGAATAATTCAAATCAATAAATACAAATATACTAATATGGGCAGATTATTTTTTTTTATTATTTTGTTATTATTTTATACCCGGGATTGAAAGTTGTTGAGATGCCTCAAGCATCTATGTGGCCAAATTATTGACTGGCAGACACGGTTGGGGTTGGTCTTGGAAGCACCTTGATGTCACCATTGTCCATGACTTGATAATGATCGGTGCTCTTCAGGGTCAACTTGGCAAAGTTCTGATTGATTAGCTCTTGCATCTTGGCCATCCTCATCTCAATGATTCTCTGCTTGACATCATTGATTGGAATGATATCACCAGCTTGATGCTCCTCGACCATATCATTGATCCTCTTCTCCACTCTTGATTCGAACCAGCGACCATGACCATGACCATGACCATGTTGTTGTGGCTGCTGTTGTGGCTGCTGCTGGGACTGCTGCTGGGGCTGCTGCTGGGGCTGCTGTGGTTGCTGTTGGGGTTCACCAACAACTACCTTGCTTGGGGCAATGGTCTCCACTGGAGTTGCTCGGGACTGGATTTCAGCTATCTTGCACTGAACATTGGTGATCTTCCTGTCGAAGCAAGCCTTCTTCCTCTCGAGCTTCTCTTGGATCCTGGCCTCCCAGTTTGGGAACTTGTGGTTGGGTGCTGCTCTCCTCATCTCCAGCTTGGCAGTGAGTCTCTCGATCATTGCTTGCTTCTTCTCCGTCAGCATCTTGAGTCTCATCTGCTTCTTCTCGATCTTCTGAGCCTGTCTCTCTTGCTTGGTCATGATGTTGTTGTCCTCACGAGCTAGTTTGACTGTTGCTGCTGGTGCAGGCACGGGAGCTGAAGCTTGGGAGATGTTGTTGTTGCAGTTGCCCCAACCCCACTGGGAGTAGCTTGGGTTCACTTGGACCTGTGGACCATGATACATCATCTCCATCTTGGCGATCTTTCTCACCATCCTGTTCTCCATGCGCTGGTTGTTGCATCCCATTCCCATTTGATAGGGTCCCTGATGAACGGTTGGCTGCATGTTGGGGAGCTGATGACGATGGAAGTGGCTTTGGTGCATTCCATGACCATGGTGACGACGGTGCATTCCATGGTTTGGGACTTGTCCTGGATAGATTGGTGCTCCTACTTGAACTGGAGCTGGAGCTGGAGCTGGAGCTGAGATTGGAGTTGGAGTTGGAGTGATTGTCACACTGTACATTGGTTGTACGAGTTGATTGATATCAGCTCCACATTGATGGGTGTTGTGCTGGCGATGGAAGCGACCTTGGTGCATTCCACCGTGACGGCCGTGATGACCATGATGACCATGATGTCCGTGGTGATGCATGTGATGATGCATTCTTGGTTGGAACTGCTCCTGGGGCATCAGGCCAGGGTACATTGGTACTGATGTTGTTGTTGTTGTTGGTTGAACAAGTTGTTCATTGATTATAACATTGCTGTTATTTTTGCTGTTGCTGCTGCTGTTAAAGTTTGATTCGTAAGTCATTGTTATTTGTTTGATTGATTGATTGTTATCTGTTTAGATGATTTGAATGATGTCATTTCTGAAACACTATTTATAATAGACTGTTTGAATGAAGATGAAATGGGATAGGTTGGTTTGTACAAGTCTACTCTTTCAATCTAGGGACTGAGTTTGCCCTTATCTTGTCTTCAAACCTGAGCTTGCAATCCCGAGACACAAACCATAACTTCAATGAACCAACCAATTTTGGTAACAAACAAAGAATGAATGTTGTAAAATGAGAAAAACATGAGTTTTGTATGAGCACAAGTGTGGTTGTGAACCAAAAAGGATAGTTCGTTGAATTTATGGTTTGGTCTTGACTCTAGAGAGCTCAGGTTTGTCCGAAGACAACAAGATAGGCAAACTCTACCTACGCTTTAAATTAAAAGATTAATAAAAATACGATGATTTATCAAAAATAAATAAAACTATAAATAGTCTAAAATCAATGACATCATCTTCATCAAATAATCAATAATTATCAACAAATAACAATCAAATAATTAATTAAAAATGACATACCAATCAAACAATAATAATAACTATAATAACAATAATAATAATGACATTCTTTTTAAATCTAAAATGAAAAAGAGACATTAAAAGCAGGGAATGAATCCAGTTCGTTTCCATACCCAACATAACTTTAATAAGTTTGGAACAGTGAACCAAACTCCACTTCGAACTCAAGATGTTCCATTTGCTCAAATCAACTTTGTTCATCGTTTTTCCCATGGTCATAGACGCTTCAACCGTCATCAATTCATCTCTTTTCAACCAAGTACCAATCAGGAATTCAGATGCCACAAGGGTGTGGAGAAGAAGTCGATGAGAAGGATGAACTATGCTCATCAATTCCAAGGATATTCAAAGGGTTGGAGACACTTCAACAACCACCAAACTGTCTCCTTACCTTTCAATAACCCGACTTGGATAGAGAGACATGCTCATAAGTTGGTGAAGAGACAAATGAAACTCAAGTTGTTGACTGAGAAGAGGGAAGCAATGATCAAGAGACTCACTGCCAAGCTGGAGATGAGGAGAGCTTCACCCAACAACAACAACAAGCTCCAAATCTGGGAGCCCAAGATCCAAGAGAAGATGAGAGGAAGAAGGCTGGCTTCGACTGGAAGATCTCCAAAGTTCTGGAGAAGATAGCTAAACTCCAATCAAAGACTAAATCGAAACAGGTCGACATGATTTCTCCAATCAGGTCAGCTCCAAAACCATATGGCGGCAGGTTCGGATCAAGAGTGGAGAAAAGGATCAAGCTGGTGATATCATTCCAATCAAAGATGTCAAACAGTGTATCATTGAGATGAGAATGGCCAAGATGCAAAAGCATATCAACAAGAAGTTCTCCAATCTGACTCTCAAGAGTACCGATCAATATGAAGTCTTGGACAATGGTGATATTATGGTACTTCCAAAACCAATCTCGATGACTAAACAATAATTAATTGGTCACAAAATAAATATTATGTTTTTTTTTAAATTCATATTATCAATTCATTCATTTATTAAAATAATTAATAACTATATATATTAATATATTTGACTAGTAACAACTACCTCACTCAAGAGAATGAACCCGGGATGATTTCATAGAAGCTCTCAAAATAATTAAATTATGTAATCTTGACAATGATTCAAAGAAACAATGCCACAAGATGCTATGCAACCTGTTTCCACTCAAGGCCACATATATTGTTGAATCTTCCAAGAGGTCAAAGGAAGATCTCTGCCTCAATAATATGATTGAACCTATCTCGGCTGTTAACAACATCTGAGAAACATAGTCTTTGCCGAGGTGTACACAGAGTAGAAGATGATAATAAAAATATATAATTGTTTATTGTTGTAACGCAAGCCAGCCACCATTACTTATTTAGTTTGATGACAGTTGTCTCTTTACAAGGTTGTAATAGATTCCACCTTCGTCCTTGATGAGCGAATCGTGTGTACCTCTCTCTTGGATCTCTCCTTGATTGACTACCAGCACAGACGTGGCATTGACCACGGTGGATAGACGATGTGCAATCACCAGCACAGTTCGGTTGACCATCAATCGGTCGATGGCCTCCTTGACCTGGTACTCACTCTCGGCGTCCAGCGCAGATGTGGCCTCGTCCAGCAGAAGTACCTTGGGATTCAGTAACAGGGCACGAGCGATGGCAACACGCTGCTTCTGGCCACCAGACAGACGAACACCGCGCTCGCCAACAACAGTGTCGTAGCCCTTTTCAAACTCGTTGATAAAGTGGTGGGCATTGGCCTTCTTGGCGGCATCGATGATGGAGTCCATGCTGGCGTTCTCCACACCGAACGAGATGTTCTCCTTGACAGTGCCGGCAAAGAGCAGTGGCTCCTGGCTGACGAAACCAAGGATGGCTCGGTACCACCTTGGGTCCAAGGTCTTGATGTTGACGCCATCGAATGTGATTGAACCATTGATGGGATCGTAGAAACGCTCGATCAGACTGACGATGGTCGACTTGCCACCGCCAGATGGTCCGACCAGCGCAGTGACCGTGCCGCTGACCAACTTGATGTTGATGTTCTTGAGCACCTGTGTTGTTCTGGTTGGGTAGGTGAAGTCGACGTCCTTCAGCTCGATCTCTCCGACGGGCAGAGGCAGACGCTCGCCGCCCGACGTGGGGATGGCTGGCACACGGTCCATCAACTCAAAGATACGATCGGATGCTCCGACAGACTGCATAAAGTCACCAAACAAGCTGCTGATGAATGCCAAAGACATGGCCACAGTCAATGTGTAGAGAAGGAATGATGTCAAGTTGCCAGTTGTAGTCGTGCCATCAAACACCTGCTTGGCTCCAATATAAACAATCATAACAATGGCCAACTGAGCAACCAAGAATACACTACCAGAGAAAATACCTGACGCCAGTGCCAGAGTCTTTCCAATCAAATAGCTCTGATGTACATCCTTTGCATACTATGTTTGGGTTGATTGAGTGAGTTGGTTAGTGAGTGAATGATTGAGTGATGGTGATGTGGCACATGGATGTGGACTTACAATGTTGACAAACTTGTCCTCTTTGGAGAATGCCTTGACAGTTCTAATGTTACTGATGACCTCCTCACCGGTTGTAGAGCTGTTGGCGAGCACTTGTTGGAACTGCTTTCCAAGCAGCTTAACCTTCTTGCCGTAGAACACGGCTGATATTATGATCACAGGGATCACTCCAAGCATGACCAATGTCAACTTCCAACTAAAGTTATTAAGTGAGTTTGTTAGTTCATTGATTGAATGTGATTGATTGGTTGAATGAGATATACATACTTTGTAATAAACAAAAGGATGATGGCACCAATTACTTGGATTGTGTAACGGACGGCCATTGAGATGTTGACCGTGACGGTGTTTTGGAGCACTTGAGTGTCGGATGCGAGACGGTTGACCAACTCACCAGTTCTGCTCTGGTCAAAGAAGGCAATGTCCTGCTTGATGATGGCTGAGAAGAGATCCTTTCGCATGCGCGCGACGAATCGTTGACCAGCCAGTGTGAATAGCCATTGACGGATCATTGTGCTGATGCTGCCCATCACAAAGATCACGACCAGTGCCAATGTAGTGTTGTTGAGTGCGTTGATGTTCTTGGACGTCGAGACGACCTGCACGATCTGGCCAAAGAAGGCGGGCATTGCGAGAGAGCTGAACGACGCAAAGAGCAGCGCCACCATACCGGCCATGATAAGGGGCAGCTCCGGCTTTGACAGTGCGGCCAGACGTCGAGCATTCGAGTTGCTCACGGTGGTCGAGCGTTTGAAGTTGCGGTTCTCTGAGGATGCCTGTTCCTCTGCCTCTTGGAGTGTCTTGCGCTCCTTTGCCACTTGCACCTTGTGGTCGGCGTAGCCAACGATGAGTGGGTAGACATTGACACCCATGTATATTACAAGCAGGCCAAGTGACAGTGCGTTGGTGATGATCGTCATCTCACGGATGTCCCCATTCGTGTAGATGGGCGAGTTGATTGGCAGTAGGGTGCGGCTGATATTGGCAACGTCCTGTGTCAGCATTGACACGGCAAAGGGCATCTTGATCAAGACGTACACCAGTCCGGTGCCCGTCAGTATGTATGTGACCATGGCGTAGGTGTGCGTGCTGTTGACCAGGGTCACCACCCAGAAGATCACCAGCAGGAAGCACAGCAGGAGCAGGTCAAACGTGGAGAAGTAGAAGAAGTACTTGAAGTTGAAGCGATCCAGCATGGAGGGTGGGATGGGCGACGGCGCGCCACTCGAGTCTGTGGAGTTGCCATCGTTCAGTGGATTGGGATAGAAGACAATCCTATTGCCAACAAAGAACAAGGTGGTCACCGAGACAAAGTAGCCGACCACCAATACTATGGTAAAGATACGCATCAAGCTTAGCAATGAGCGACTGCGCAGACGCATGTTTATGGCGGTCGCTTCAAGATCGTCTATATCATCTGGCGCACGATTCACCGGATGCAGCAACAATGATTGATTCTCCAAATCTACATTACTCGCGCTGTTACCAGCGTCATCATCATCACCATTATCATCTGTATATCTATCCTTTCCGCCACCGCCATTATATGTTGATTTATTTCTATTCATCTTTATCTTGTCTTATTTATTTATATAAATATATACTATTACTATTACTATATTTAGTAGTTATACAACTAAACATAAATATTAAATTGATTGATTGATTGATTATTTGATTGATTATAACAACAACATTGATGAAGTCATATGATATATATTATGTTACCTCCTACCAACAGGGTAGTATTATAATGGTTACGTGTCTGACAGTATTGGACTGTTGGAAGTTTCATGAAAGGTTGCACTTCCGAGTTGACACATTACCACATTCTATCTCTTTCTCTCGGGAAGGCTGACAACAAATCGAATCTCATCATGAACGCTTAAAGATGTCGCTTTCACATACACAATGACCCCAAACACAAACAAAGTGTGGGCTTCGTGGAAAGTGACATCTGCATCTCTTGGTCTTGAACCCAACTTCAACAACAACAACATCGTTGATACTAGACACACAATGATGATGATGGTGATTCATTACTTTGGTACATAGTAGTATTAACAACAAATAATAATAGAATGAATTGATGGAACACTTTAGAAACTAATCGATGGTTTAAATGTTGGGTCACGCTTCAATTGAATCGCGATGACTCATTAATGAAACGTCGTGAGCGAGGCGAGTGTATGAGTCATTGAAGCCAAGTTTGAGACTGACTCTTTGTCTTTAATACCAAAGATAAAGGGGCAGCCAGATACTTCATTCTCCATCCTGGTCAGCTGACGATTGAATCGCGATCATTCAAACAATCAATAACATGACCGAACCAATCAATTGACACATTTATTACTTGAACATCTGGTCAAAGATAGTCTTGGATATCTCAAAGGCATTGCCCTCGGGAATGTAGGGATATACATTGGTCTGGAGGTTCCATTGGTACTCTAATTGAAGGATCTTGGAGGTGTAGGTGTCTGTGTCGAATGGTAGATCATGTACGAGTGACTGCTGCATCATGCCAAGGAAGAACTGCCAGCGCATCGAGTAGAACTCGCCAATCAAACCGTTCCACCACTTGCACGCGTAGTCATGGTTCCACGTGCCTCCATTGGGTCCCCACAACGTCACCTGGTTCCTGGCGTTGAACTCGTAGGGTGCAGTGTCGGCGGGGTTGTGTACGTCGGCTGCCCACGATCTTGCGTCGCTGGTCCAGTGTCCGAGCAGCAACAACTCCTGTGTCATTGATATCTCGTCCATGCTCTTGATGGCGTTGCGCAGGTCGATTGTGAGTTTGTCAAATGACTTGGTGTCCTTCTGGTAGTAGGCCGAGTTCAATAGCAGCTCTGACTGGAGGAAGTAGTTGCTGAGAGCCTGCTGGGTCAGCTCGACCAGGTCGAACTGGTAGGTCTGGCTGTTGAGCACGTCCTTGTCGGTGACCTGCAGAAGTGCTATCCACGCGCCAATCACAATCTGAGGGTCGTAGTAGTTGTCGTTGGTGAAGTTGAGCGCTGGGCGCTGGGTGACCAGACTGAGTGGCACCTGCTGCACGATGCCGCTGGCGTTGTATACAGTACGCGCCAGGACGTTCCATTGGGTCTGCAGAGCGGGGATGGCCACACCGTAGCGACGAGTGATGTAATCGTTGACCCACTGTGTGAGGTCTGGTGCGGTCTGTCGCCAAGCCATCTCGCTCATCAGGTCGTACATGATCACATTCTGCTCAATGGCCTCGGGTGTCAAACCGGTGCCAATCATCTTGGGCGCCACCTCGCGGGCAGCGATTGGCGCGGTAGCAATCGTTGGCAGCTCGCCATACATACCTGGACGGCCGCCAAAGTTATGCAACATGCACCAGATCCAGTAGTGGCCGTAGAACTGATCGGTGAGGTTCCAGGCAGGGCGCACCTCCGCCCACAGATCAAGCACGAGCAGGCTGCCGACGGGCACACCCGAGAGGAATGCCTGGGTCTGGGCGGGCTTCCACCACCAGTCCTCGTTGACGAGGAACCATCCCTGCAGAACCCATATGGCATCGGCGTCGACGGCCTTGATCGCGTCAAACATGAGACTGGACGCGTTGTGCAAGTAGGACGTGTCGCTGCTGGGTGGTGTCAGCTCGTTGAACGGATCAAAGTTGTAAAAGTGATCGGTGCCATATGTCTCGTTCTGGATTTGCAGGAAGGTCTGCGAGATCTTGGCAAAGAGCGGGTCGACTGGATCGAGGAAGAATGTGCCGGGGAAGTTGCACCATTCGTCCAGAACCGTGATGCTGGCCGTGGGGTAGAGAGCCGAGAGGCCAGGTGGCACATGGCCAGCAAAGCCGGGCAGCACGGGGAACATACCATACTCTCTCATCCTCTGCAGGATCTGCTGTTGTAGTGACATCTGACCGTCGATCCATTCAGTTGTCAGGTTGCCAGCCCAGCCATTGAGGTTGCCCATGCGGCTCCAGGGTAGAAAAGCCGAGCCAGTGAACCATTCGTTGATATTGGCCTGGCTCAGACCCATCTGCAGGAATACCTTGGACCACACGTACTCCTGGCCAACAAAGGCCAGCGGCAGATTGTAGCCGTTCAATGCCATCCAGTCGATCTCGCGCTCCCAGCGAGCCCAGTCCCACCACACGGTGCTGTAGCCATAGGTGCAGACGTTGAGATAGTAGCGCAGCTTGCTAGCCATGAAGATAAGTGCGGGCTCGGGCTTGGGTAGAGCGTTGGGCACGAGTGAGCACTGGTCGCCGGTCCATGTTATAGAGCAGAGGCCAGTGTATTTGAGGTAGTAGTTGAATGCCTGGGCCAGGTTGACGGCGCTGTCGGCCGTGAGCACCACGATGACTGAGGACGAGGATTTGGTGTAGTTAACAGAGAAGTACTCCTTGCCTAGATTGTCGTCAATCTGGAGCAAGAAGTCGTTTTGGAAGCCTGGTCCGATAGTCCTGTTGATAAGGTCGTAGACCAGTTGGGTGGGGTCGGCATTGTTGTTGCGAGGGCGTGCCAACACATCAAGCACATGACCAGCATGCGTATGAGTGGCAGCCAAGCTTAACAACAGTAGTAGTAGTAACACACTTGCAATGTACTTGTATGTCAACATGTTATATTGTTTCACTTTGATTGATTGATTGTTGTTCCATTTCATAAACAACCCTTTTGTGTGTGTTTGATCAAGGACCACCCATTCAATTTTTGATAGATTTGCAAAAAAAAGTTAAATATCTTTGCTTGATTAATGTAAAGATACAATTAAGGATGGTATCGGTATTCGTTTATTAACCAGGGCCCATCTTTTTAATAAACACTTAAGTCAACCAGGATTTGTCAGAGAAATGATAAGATGTTTAAAGTTGAATACTATTCTATATTTATATTATGGATAAAATAATAATAATGTATTACTTTTGATATTAATAGAAACTAGATCTTCATGTCTATCGAAATATAGTACTGCGATCTCAATAGAAGAAGATTTGAGGTCACAAAAAGATAGTTTAAATTCTTTTGCCCACCTAAAAAAAATACTTTTAATATAAAGAGATGTACTCTTAATATTATTGAACGTTCACTTGAGAGTATGACAGTTAGTAACTGAAGACCCACTGTCTATGAATGAACGAATCATATAAACTTATTTATTTATATAATTAATGATTGATTGCGTGTAACAAGAGGACATACCTTGAGAGTATGACAGTTAGTAACTGAAGACCCACTGTCTATGAATGAACGAATGAAGTGATTGAGTGCGCGAAGCGACATCAAAACACT